ATTCTGGCACGAGGGCGTTTTTAAGGCGTTCCCTCAACCTAGTGTTGTCGCAGACTTCCATCACTGCTGAAGCGTTCCGCGAAGCTTTCTATCACTCGTAGCACTATCTGCCAGTGGTGCGCAGTGATCCGCACCCTGATGCATTGCAGTCGCTGGTGTAGGACGACGTCCCGTGGTGGCCTGCTGCGCACCACGACCGCCTTGGTACTGGGGCTCCCGATCCCCTGCACCGTACACTGTCGATCCTGAAAGATCCTCCATCTTGGGTTTTTCTTCAGGGTCCCTGTCCCCTAGCGTTGTTTGAATGCTACCGCCAGCTTAAGGACATATGGAAGGAACAAGAGGGGGACAGAGAAGACAGAGTTAGAACCTAGAAAGTGGTAATATATGGAACACGACTCCCTAGCCCTCGCAACCTATACGCGTCGGGGCGGGATAACACAAGAGATTTGGCCGACTTACAAGATTGCCTACAGGACAGAAACAGATGTGTGCCACAAGTAAGTGGACAGCATGACACACAGAGTTTGTGGGAATTGCGATGTTTTAGGGGCAGTGAACAGCGGACAGCTGCTCCATTAGTCGCCTTTCTCCGACAGGGGACGGTTCCCGATGGTGCTATTCTACAAATCCCCGACACCACACGGGTGGTAATATTCTGATTAATTACTATTATTATTATTATTATTATTATTATGTTATTAATTATTTTATTATTATTGAATTTATTATTATTATCATATTATTCAATTAATTATTATTATTTTATTTTATTATTAATTATATATATATTTATTATAATTATTATAATTATTATTTATTATTATCTATTATTAATTATTATTATTATATTTATTATTATTATTATTATTATTATTATTATTATTATTATTTGATTTATTATTATTATTATTATTATTATTATTGATTATTATTATTACATTATTGTATTATTATTATTATTATTATTATTATTATTATTATCTGATTATTATTTATTATTATTCCTTATTCATTATTCATTATTATTCATCGCATCATCATTATTATTATTATCATCATCATTATTATTATCATCATTATTATTATTTTATCATATTATTATTAATTTTATTATTATTATTATTATTATTATTAATCAGGTTGCAAAAAAAGCAAGTAAATGAAAAATGACCATAATAATTACAATTCAAATTTGTACTCAAGCTCTAAAATGTATGTCAGCACACACATAGAAAGAAACATCTTTTCCTTGATATCAAATTTTGCCAAACTTTAGGGCTTTATCAAAAACTAATTAATCTACCATTTTGACTTAAACATAAGATTCCTGTAGAAAGGATTTTTCCAAGTTTCTCACAGCCTGTATATCACTGGAACTTAGTGCACATTTCCAAGAATCAAAGCATTGTTGTATATTTTTTATGGTAAAAAAATGTTCTAGTAAAGAGTAAGTGACAAATGAGCTACATCTAACATCAGATTATTTGAAAACTTCTAAAGCAATTTTCTTAGAATGTAATTTTGCAAACATGCCTACTTCCACTGATTGCATCAATTATCACATTTTATTTTCATATTTTTAAAAAGAAGTTTTAATTGAAATTTTAAAAAATCCCTAAATAACTCCTGACATTTCCAGTTTTTCCAGGTTTGTCGCCTTCCTGATTTAAATCATGGCCACCACACGATTTATAATTTTCTTTACTAAAAGGAATCATTGTAATGCTGGTCAATTAAATCGGGAAACTGTCGAATTCATAGCTCCCTTAGCTAAGCAAGAAACAAGTACACTTGACAATAAAACAGACCCTTTGAATTTTCATTCTTTAGATTTCAATATACACTTAAAATTATAAGCTAATTACATAAACAAGATGTACATATTAACATTAAGTTCAACTTACCATTCAACACAAGCCATATTTTGTCTGTGATATCGCAATCAGGACGCATACAACCATTAACTTGCTTAATCAGAATACTAAGAATATTTTCTCTAAGTTTCTCATGTGATAAATCACTTCCCTGAGGCAATGAGTCTACAACATCATCTGGACTGTTAATCAAAGCCAGTATTTTCTTGGTCACGTTTTCAAGCAATATTTCATCAGCTGAACATTTTCTTGGTAAAACGATAGATTGTTTGTCATTAATGATGCTGCACAATATTTCATAATATTTTGATAGTGAATTTAATTGTGACCAAAGGGAGAAAATTGCTGAAGATTTGTCACCAATTTTGAAACCTACTGTCTGAAAAGAAAATGTTTCCATTTCAGTAATTCAAAGTTCTTTAAAATTAGGCACAATGTGAATAAAGTGACTGCAAAACAAGATATATCACACACTTAATAAAACACAATTACAAAAAAATCACTGATTACAAAAAAATCTATTTAATTGAACTTTCAACAATTTCCAAAAAGACCATAAAGTTGAAGCTTAGAATTACTTTATTAAAAATATTCATTTGTTTGATGAAACCTTAAAACCAAATTCCTTTAAGAAAACAGAAAAAATTTAGTAATATATTTATCAGAGGACTGAAGGGAAATGAATGTGACCAAAGAAGGTATCTGCGAAAATAATGAGGCACAACCAAAAATCTATTTCAGCCTACAGATAATAGAAAACGAACTACTGCCATTCTGTAGCACTACTAGTTTTATTATTTATTTATGCATTTATCATTCACTGCTAAACAGGAGGAGAAATTTAAATGAAAATATTGCATGCAGGTTTTCAGAAAATATTGTTAGAAATAGCGTTACTTTTGGGATTAATTACGTAAAATCAGTTCATTTTTTCAAAAAATTGTATGTGACCTTTTTAAAAAGCCTTATTTTTTACAACAGACTTTGTTTAAAGCAAAATAGCTCTCCAATTTTGTAGTTTTCAAATGTTAACGTTCTTTTAGAGTTTCGGAAAAAATGGAGCTATAACCGAAAATGAGACTGGCAGCATAAATTTAACCTTCCCTTATTACATATGTGGAGATAATTTAAAGAAAAAAATTGGAGCAGTTTTTGAATTTTTTTTCTTGTAAATTTCAAGTGCTAATTATGCAAAAACTACTCTTTTTCTTCTTCTTTTTTTTCCAAAAAATATACCTAACCTTTTTTATAGAGTTAATTTTGTCCACCATACTGTGTCTGAAAATATCTACTATTTGGTGGTTTTAATTTTTTTAAGCATTTTCTAGGTTTTTTTTTACGCATGCTCTAATTTGCTATTAAGTTTTATACTGTTTTGTTTTGTTTTATACTTTCTGAATTCATGCATCAAAAATATATTGTTAATTATATGTGAATTGTTATTGTTTATATTGGTCACATATATGGCCAGGCATAATTTGAATATTCTTGATACTTTTGTTATTTTCATTATATTATTTTTAATACTACACTGTTTCCCTTTATTAAATTAACAATGTAACAGTAGACTTATGGTCTGTAAATACGGAATAAATAAAAACAACTTATGAATGTAGAACACATTTTTTTCTTAAACCAAAATTGTAAAATAAATATAATATTAAATATTACTTACTAAAACTGAAGACACTCCATTGGTTGGAACCTTCAAACTTGCACCATGCCACTCAAGTTTCACTAACATTTTTTGGCTGTTTCGAGATGAAACTTCATTCTGTGTAAGCTCAAATGTCTTTTCGAAATTATAATCACAGAGGTCAAATATACATTGAACATTGACCTTTCTCTGAAAAGAAAAAAATGAAAGGAGAAAATAATTTCATTTCTATAACACATTTTTAGTAAACATACACAGCACAAAGATTTTGAAAAAAACACATACATTCAATTCGAACAAAAGGTAGTTGCCCTTTGTTGATACACAAAGGTGTTGCAAAATGGTAAGATCAACTTGTGCAAGTTTTTCATTGTGAATAGTTAAATTTAAATAAAATAAAAAAGTATTCTTGGCTTGGCAACAAATGAATTGCTGAAATACTCTATAGAATATATACAACTTTTTACATTTTATCTTCTCAACAAAATTGGAAATAAGAATATGGTTGTTGCAAAATGATTAGAGCACTTCATTTTAATGTCCAATAAATGACCCATTCTGTAGATGACATTGAAAACTCCTCATATCTTCCAAAACTTTTTCTAATGTGGACAACTTTAAATTTTTCCACACTGTCAGAACAGAAGTCTTTAATTCTTCAATATTCTCATTTTGCTTTTCATCTTTATAAATTTTCTACACATGATTCCCCAAATGGTGTCCAGAGTAAGGTCTGGAGAAGTAACGAGCAATTTAATGACATTCACACTGCGATAAGAAAACTGCTCCTTTGTTGACCTGTGAATAGATGCATTGTTATCCTGAAATGTTCAAGCATCTGAACCAATTTTCTCTGCAACTAGCAAAACGTGTTTTCCACGTACATTCTGATAGTCTAAAGCTCATATCTGACCAGTGGAAAACACTACGGATTCTGTTCCTCAGCTACTGAACCCACCTCAAAGCACGACTGATTGTCCTCCCTAAAGCATCTTTGAAAACATTTCCTCTTTCTTTCTGATACGATGCCAGTAGAAACAATATCCATGAAGAATATCTAAATTGAACTTTTGTTCATCACAGAATACTACACGATTCAATTATTTTGCCCATTCAAATCTTTTTTTCTTATTGCTATTGGTCAATGTGTTTTATCTTTCTTGTATAATAAAACATTGATATTTTTAATAAACCTACCTAAAGTAGAATCATGAACATTGGTGGAACTTGAGCAAGTTGTTGAAGTGATGTTCCCTTACGAGAAAGCATTAAGCACTTGTCATTTTTGCCCATTTGTCAGTGCGTGTGGTCATCTGGATGATTTTTTAGTACATTACTCACATCCAAGCTTCAGCAAGTTATTGATTATACATGATGACCTGTGAAGTCTTACAATTTCTCAGGCAAATATTATCTCCGTTTTAAAAGTACTAATACAACCTTTCTCCAACCTTGTCAAGACTGATTTTCATCCCATTTCTCATGAACTTGTGTTCAGTAGGCTTGTAAGAATGCCATGAAGCAAACAAATAGCATCAGACTTAAGTAAATACAAATAGCAGTGAAAAATTATGAAAACAATCGTTGTATCATTTTGCAACATTAATTTTTTGTAGTAATAAGTACCTTCTGGTTTTGACTTCAGGTTAGTAGTATGAGTAATACTTTATAACATTACAAGCCCTTTAACCAAAACAAATGGCATGGGCAGTTATAAGCAAGATCTGCTCTTCCTTTGTTGTAGGACGCTAAAAACACAGTGTCCGGAATCACTAATAATAACCTAAAAACACAGTGGTCTTATCATGTTGCAACACACCTTATAATAAATAATTTTGATACATCTAATAAATAACATTTCTGCTATAAAAAATGAGTTCATTTCATTGTTTTTTAAACTTCACTTCTTTTTTATTTTTGATAAATTTAGAGAGTTTTTCATAATCTAGTGAAGGGATAGATCAAATTCAGCTTATCCCCACCTAAATTGTGGTGAAAGCTTATTTGAGTAATATCGAATGGTATGTACACACAAAAAGATTTTTGTTTTGCTAGTAAAGTGTTTGAAAATGGAATGAGCTCATTTTGATAGCAAACATTTTAAATGTAATTGTAGTGTATTTCCAATTTGTACATATTATATTATTCTATGAAAGAATTAAGGAAATTGTAATTAAATTGTAAGGAAAAGAGGTTATCATGATGAGTAGATTAATTACCATATTCTGAATCCTCATTTTCATAATTCAAAATTTACCACTTGAAAGTAATTAACAGAGATTGAAAAATCATTATATTAATGAAATATAAAATATTTCCAAATTGTTCATTTCTAGGGACTGAATTTTAATGCAAATGCTTATTTTTAATCTGAAGTCAGAAAATATACTCACATAAAATACCCAATTTCCAATTATGATTTTATGATGTATTTCTTGCATATTTTGCCTTTGCATTATTAATAAGCATCACATTTCTTCCACCTTCTCCTGCATATTTTATGTGCACTTAGGCATGTTTACATTATAACATTTATTGTTTCTCATTTATTTTTTAAAATTCTTATTTTATATTGTATGTTTCTATTTATGTAGAGGTAAAAAAAGGAACTTTGCTTTCCAAAAAGGTGGCTGCTATCAATTCGAATGATACTTATTAAATGTTTTTAGATCAGAATTGTATTATGGAAGTTCTTCCACATTCTGATACTTCTCTTAAATGTCATTGAGCAGAATTGTAACAGTAAACTGCTTGACAGATATATCTTGCATAAAAATTATGTGAAACGGTGTCATGAGTTAATATACTTTATAGAGAATAACTTTGTGCATGTTTTTGAAATTTTTACTGCATAAATGTACACATATTTCACAGATTATTACAAGAAATGCATGCTAATTCAGTCCCTAATCATACTCTTTTAATTTGCTCACAAGACGCAATCATATTTTATTGTTTTGTTGTTAGACTTACTTGTTTCTTATTTGAGAAAAGTAAAGTAGTGTCATTTAATTCTTCGTCCACACGAGTCAATGGAGATAATCCGTGATATTGCACTGAACACCGAGAGCACCAACCTTCCTCTTTGAAACCACATAACAGTAAAGTTCTAGATTTATCAGTACCATCACAGGCTATCCACAATGGGATATTACAATTTTCAACTTTAAGTAAATATCTGCTAATAATACTCCTGTTGACAGAAAAGGAGAATAGGAAAAATCAATTAATGTAAATTAGACATGTTAAAGCATTTAGACCAAAATTATTAATCAAAACAGAAAAGGAAGTCAAGCCAATAAACAAATTGTAATTGCAAACCAGTATTTTGAGTAAGTGTAAAAGCCATAATTATTACAAATACAAGAGTCAACTAAGAAAATGTCAGTTAGTGAAAGCACTATATTAATGATGACTTATTGCAAAAAATTGTAATTTATTTCTCACAAAATGGTGGCCATCAATTCAAACCAAACGTGACCAACACAAACGATTTGGACTTTTCAAAGACATAAGATGAAAGGACCAAAAAACAGTATTTAGATGCCTTGAAGAATCTCCTCTACTTTACCACCAGATGCCAGTATTCTTTAAATTCGTGGTTGAAATCTAGTGCATGCTAATTTAATAGAATTAAAGTATAATTAACTTTATATAATAGCAAATTATTCAAATATATTTACGTAATGAAATCTAGGCATCAATTCTGAACTAGCACCCCAGGCAGGTTAGATTTCTTGGAAGGCAGGGTAGAGAGTCTCGCTTCTTAATTATCTCAGTATGCCCATTGAATCTTCCATTTTCAATTTTGTCTTTTTTTTTTCTTCAAACCCATTTTCAGAAATTGATATTTCAAAGAATTATTTCTACCAGATGACTCCCCATTTTAGTTAAGATAACTAATACCACAACAGCATGATTGCATGATTTACATGCAATATGCATGCAATTTCTTGCACAACTTGTAACAGTTATATATTACTTGAACCAGCAAAAATATTTGACTATGCTGGAATTCACACTTCAGATTAGCAAGTAGTTGGCATAACCACCACTAATCACCAGTCAACCAACTTCCCATTAATTATTCAGGGCACATCATCTGGTAAAGTCATTAATCCAGGTTAAGTAATGAAAGTTTTTATCGCGGGGGGTGACCTTGCTGGTACGTTAGATCCGACGCCGACCCGTACGTAGAGTTGCGGGAGATTTCCTCATCCAGGTACCTCCCTCAGCAGGGGATGGCCACGGCCGAGGCAAACCAGAGATTGATCATCTGACGTATATGGTACTGTAGTGCATTTAAATGTGTATAAGGGTGAGGAGGGTTTAAATGTATATAAGGATGGGAAGGAAAGATCGCGCACGGTCCGTGACCCCGTACGCTCTGACATTCGCCTGGTGTTGATCGGAGAAACGACGGTAAACTACCGATCAGAGCAGCCGGCAGCTAGAATTCTCCCTACACAGCGGCTGAATTCGGCCAGCTATGAAGCCAGAGTCGAAAATCCGCCGCCGTTGGGACTCAAACCTAGGACCTCCCGTACTGAGTCGATGCGGAAACTGCGGCAATGAGCCGCATTGGTCAACACTAGCTCCTAAACCGTTCAGACGGTTTTCTCCAAAATTGTCATTCCGCGATCGATCTAGCCAAACCCGTGGCCCTGAGAATTTGAAACAAGCATTTTGATTTTAGGCGTACTTTACATTAAACCTTAACATTTTTTCAAATTTTTCTCAAATATTGTTTCGAGTTTTTGGATTATTTGCTTCTCGGATAAAGCAAAATACTTTTAAACAATGGCCCAAGACTAATTTTCGTTGAATTATCTAAATTTTCGAAAATTTTAAAAGTTCAAATTTTTTTGTCATCTTTGTACAATTGCAATGTTGAAAATGGAGATTTTTTATTCATTATCTTCAAAGATAATCTTTAAATGTACAATTTTGGGATCATTGAAAAAAAAAGTTCACTTTTACGGGAGAGGGGAGGTGTGAAGGTAAAGTGATGTGATGAATTGAATGGCAGTGTGTGTGTGTGTGTGTAAGTGAGTAGAGGGAGGTCTGAATTAGAAATGAACCAAATGAAAGTTGTCAATAATCTTTTAATGCTACATATTAAATATATGTAACCACATTTCTAGTCAACTCACATTTGCGCCTTTTGCACTAATTTGTGAATTTTATTTCTTCAATAGACAGACACTCATCGTAAATTAAACATACTAGCAAATTTTGGCATTCCCGATTAGCTATGTCGATGGCATTCCGGATTGATAGAAGTCTATATGGCTGACATAGCTAAAGCATTGTATGCTCCTATCAATATTCATTATGAATTATGTAATGCGCTCCTCATTGCATAGAATTAGATTGTTTAGTTACTAAAATAAGTTGCCAATATTTAATGGTCTAATTTCAAATGTATTTTTAAAAAAAAGTTGAGAACTTGTTCAAGCTTGTTGCATTTGGGTATATGAAAATGTGAATACATTCATTGAAATAGTAACTTCCCTAGTCCAATTTCATTTTTTTAGGAGTATTTATTAAAAAGTTTGCATAAAACAGTTTATCCTCTTCAATGAAGGTAAATAGTTTGAAGGTTGGATAATTTAATTTATTTATTTAATTTTCTAATTAAATAAAGAACAGTAAAACTCTTGTAACTGATATTTTACTAACATATGAATATAAATGTTTTCATTTCAATATATGGTTTAATAATATTTATTATTTTAGTATGATTATCTCAGGATTGTGAAATGTTCAAACTAAGCACAAGCTGCCACTCGTATAAAACCAATAATTAGGCAAAATACTTTCCCCAATACAATCACAGAAGAATTCATTATTGCTGGTATTTTGTTTATAAAGAGACCTTCCATATTTTTACTGAAATTATACCCTGTTTTTTTTTTAAAGAATTTTAAATTGATCTTATTGCCCTTTGCTACGTCACATTAATACACTTATTTTTCCTTCCACCCGGGGTTCTGGTTTGAGTCAAATGCTCATTGTTTTTTCTTTGTTCTCTTTTGTCGGGCAGAAGTTGATGCTGGTCCAAGTGGGTGTCGAGGTTCCAACCTTTAGTTTGTACAACTAACATCAATCATCCTCAAGTCTGTTCAATGCATTGCAAACATAATCCCAAAATAGTTCTTGTCTAACACATTTTCCCCATCAAAACCCCCTCCCTCTCAATGTATAACAAACATCCAATAAGCAATCACAGTACTCCATAACCCAAATGCGCCTCCCTGGGAATACGCTGTAACTTATCAGCTTTTAGAAGAGCTGAGAGAAAGTGTTTAATGTTTTTAGAGAATTATTACTTCAGCCAAATCGCACCAGCTATTATGTCTAGAGAAAGTGAATTAATCACTTCAACTGTGGTAATCACACATAATGACTAGTACAAGAACATATACAGAAGTAGTAATAAAAAAAAAGCAGATGGGGATTATTTTCTCCATATCAACTGATATGTTTGTCACTAATTAATTATACCATAATTCAATAATTACATTGCTACATGTAAACCTAATTTGTGACATTGTTTCAGGTGAACGCAAAATGAGTATTTCGTAAAACACATTACATCATGTGTGAATTATTTTGTGTTTCTTACGTAATACCATTTGTCACCTTTAATCTCATTGAACTTCCTAACTTTTGAACTATTGAACTTTAAAGACATGTAAAAAAATATGAATTTGTTGATTATATGGATTTTTTCAATAAATTCAATACAATCATAATATTACTTATTTGTTTACTTGTTTGTTTACATTTTATTTTTAGTACCCTTTGTACCATTACATATTGTACAAATCACATGCTTAGGATTACAAAAGGCCTGCTTAGGATTATAAATTATTATTACCTCTCACTCTTTGGCATTTGCTTCCCCACTTCCAGGGCCCTCTGTAAATTAATGAGTCATAGAAGATCTTATATACTTTTCTGGTAGAGGGAGATGGCATGGCAAGTGCCATGCTTCATGAGCTTATTTTTTTCAATATTTACTGTTAGTAAAGGCTTAACATATTAGTACTCATTGTGAAAGGAGGTTGAGTGGACCTCAGGATCACCCTGAAAAGGTCATAAGCGGGTAAAAATCTCCAGCTTTGTAGTGGTTTGAACCAGGGTCCTACAGGTTGAAGCACATGTCACCTAACCACTATGCTGTTTATCAGCATATCAGGAAAATAAGCACCATTTAGATAAATAGAAAAAAGTTAGTAAAATTTATCTCAAGGTACAAACCAAATTATCTCAAATGAATTAATTCTGACATTTTTATGACAACTCTAACAATAAATATAATAAGCATTTTGCATAACACAGAGTAATGAATAAATAAAATTTTGAATCAATATGAAATTAGGGCACTTTGAATTATTAATATCGTTTACATTTTTTACACATAGTTCATGTTCATGCTATTTTGATCATTTCAATGAAGCGCAAACCCATACCTGCATTGGAAATCTTACATGCATAAATTACTTCAAAGTTATAAGAAAAAATTCTAAGAGAAGCAAGTCATCTCTTACCTTGCACTATTGAGTGACAGAGGATAATGCTTTTCTTCATCATCTAACCAAAACTTCTTTACACAGAGTACAGAATCATCAACATTCACTGAATATTTAGAAAACTGTAGCGGCGAACCAGTAACATCAAGTTCTCCAGAAAATTCTGTTAATCAAAGAGACATGGGTATGAGTTCATTTCATTACTTGCAAATCAATATTCAATAAAATTCATGACTTCATATTAATTCAAGAAGACATGTTTTTGATAAACAGGTGAACAACAATGTTGAATCAATAATTGTGACAAATTAATAAAATGCATAAATACAACAATTTTAAAATAAAATTTGATTTTTCACTGTGATTCTTTAGATATCACTGTTGCTCTACAACACAAGAAAAGGTTTACACCAGGTCCAGATTTTGGTGTTCCAAAATGACAGCAAGATCCTATTTAGTTATTTGATGCGATGTATAATTAAATTTTAAAATATAGGAATAATAAACTATTAACAAATGTCAATCTTTCATATTGAAAATAAAGCCCACCATAACTCACAATAAATTTGACAATAATGTACCAATTATTTGTTTTAAATGGAATAAAGAGTTTCCAACAAATCTATAACATTATACTATTACTGACAGCATAGTGATGGCCATTATCTCTCGGAATGCAATTTTCATTATTTATTATACCATCATCAAGAAAATTATTAAATTTGTAATGACTGTTATGACTTACTAAATTTGATAATATTATATAATGAATTGATGACGGGCTTTTACATAAGAATGTTATATTACGATATGAGCAAGGAACAAGCAAGTATCAGTAGTGTAAACTTCATAAGAGTATTAATTAAATTGAATTTCATACAATACTTTTTATACAACTAATATACTATTATAAATTAAATAACTATTACAAGTTAAACATAAAATTAACAAACTTACACAACCATTATAAGTTAAACTTTTACACTGAATGCTGTGAACTTTTACACAAGGCAGCTTGTATGCAGTATTCAGGCAATGCCACCTAGCAGATGGACTTCTAGGTGTCTCAAGAAGCATTGGTTACACTTAACACAAAATCTGACTTCCACTGAGCAGAACACAAGTTAAGTGAAGATTCAATTTCTTAATTTCATCACAGTTCAGTATTCGTTCTCTTATCTTATCAATTAGATCACTGATTTTCATCAAAGAAGTTTCAGTATTTTGTTATTCTTCTGAATTTTGGAAACAGGGAAGGGTGTGTATGGTTTACCACCCCTTCCTCACAGGTTGTCTTAGTACAGTAAAATAACAAAATCCAATGAAACATTTACCAGAGTGATGACTAATAATTGATTCTCTCTCAAAAACGTATATGAGATTGGGAAAACATCGGTACTATAATGAAGTTGTATTGTAACGACTGTTGTTCTGCAATAAGCAGCAGCTATCAACCAAGAGTGATATACTGAGAATAGAAGGAAAGTTTTTATTTTATTACTAATTATTTATTGAAAGGTAAAACTTATAACATCGATGTGGCTTATCTAAGATACACAGTACAGACAAGGAGCTTTCTAAACAGATGGAGGGGGGAAAAGGTTTATGTAATTGTAACTACAGAAATGCTCTCAGTAGAAAAAGATGGAATAAACAATTGATTCTTTTATTAATTATCGAACATGGAAGTCTTAGTGTTATCATATTGTACACCGTTTTTACACCAAAAAAGGACTTAAAAACATTGCTAGCAATGCATGCAATTTTACCGAGATACGCCTCTGACACTAACATTCAAACATGTTTTTGTAAGTTTTTTGTGTGACAGTGATGCTGAAAAGATAGATTCAAATGACCAAAATAGATCACATATTATATTTTTTAAATGTTACGCAATTCTAGTTCAAAAGATACTGTTTTAAATACTTCAAAAATATTTATTTAAAATTCAGCAACTTACAAGATAAATTCAAAATCTGAAAATGATCTATCACAGATAAAAAGATTTGATTCCGCTGGGAACTGAACCCAGAACCTTCAATTGACTGGACAGAGAGAAACATTTTCCAGAGACAGTTTATTGACCTTATGAAGTCCAGATGGACTAGAATCATAGTAATTATAAAGTGAATTAAAGAAATCCCTTTTATCCATTGAATAATTATTCAAGTCAAGAACAACATGAAGTATAGCACCACTTCTTAAAATATGCAAACTAAGAAGGAAAAACAAAAAGTAAAATGACCCAAAAATAATTATATAATCAGAGTCAGGTTCAGGATTAAGAGTACAAGTTAACTTTATCAATGGACCATTTAAATTGATAAATGGCACGCAGTAAATCTGAATTCCGTTCATTCAAAATTAAACATGCACAAAAAATTAAAGAAATCAATTAAATGAATGGTTAGTATTCGAAAATTACTGATGTGAAATTTATAAGATTTCCATTTTCTTAAAGGCCATGATTCAATTTGGTCAAAAATTAAGTTACTCATTTTATTGTATTTACATCTTACCAATATTTTCTTCTTTTTCAAGGTCTGGAATGTTTCCTACCTCAGCCTGCTGGAATTAAAATGGAGTTAATATTTTACAAGGATTCTTGACAACACTTGTTAATAAAATCTTCGTTTAATTATTTACCTGCATAACCGAACCTTTGTAAATAAATATTGCATCCTCAGGTGCTTTTGAGAGGAATATTTGAATATAAGATGGCAAGGATTTCTGTAATTGAACACCTACAAAATCTGCCAATATATCATTCAACTTTATACTTATAAATCCTGACATCTTTGTTTAATAGACTTTTTTTTAAAGATAAGAAACTACACTGCGAATAATATATTCCAAGTACTGCATAAAAAGTTTGCAAGTAGTAAAGTTCACATTATAAACCATGAATTCAAACACTTTTAGTGTTCTAAGACAAATTACTAGAAACACTAATACTATTGCCAAAACAATTTAAATTTGAGTTCAGATGATTTCTTGAATTAACTTTAAATGTATTCCACACCAATGCAAGTAATTTCTTCTACGCAAGGGAGACCACAATTTCCCCAGTGACAACAAATTCAGAACCCTACACAAATCATACGTCACATTCTTGCTTCCCGCCAACAACCATAATATCAGCAGCAACAGATGTGTAAAGTTTGGTACATGGTGTAAGAAAATACACATTTGGGGTATTCCAATTTTATCAATTCGATTCCGAAAACGGTTCTTCGTTTCGATTCCTACCCTGGTGCCAGAGAAGTGAGTTTCTTTTGGATTTACTTGTATATAAGGAAAGTACATACCAAAGTAACATGGATATATACATTTCACAGTGTTCATTTGTATTTCTTTGTTTATTCATGTGCTAATTATATTTGTTCTTTCATTTTTCCTTTCTCTTATACGTAGCTCTACGGAGTAATATACATAGTTAGGAGAATGTTATGTAATGCTGCGAAATAACGATTTCAAAATTTCAACGGAAATACATGTTTTCGGTCTGATACCAAAAAAGTATTTCTTTTCGAAACATCTATAGGTCAGTGAACTCCACTATACTTGGTTTGTTTCTTTCTTTTTCTTTACTTGGCGCGTGATGGCCTGTTTTCACGATATGGCATTTCGTGTCTTTCTCGGTTGAGCCGCTAGATGTCGCACGATCGCGACCTTTATCTAGCAATACTGGCAATCATGCGACGTCTAGCGGCAGGACCGAGAAAGGTGCAAATGCCTTGAGATGTCCATCGTGAAAACAGGTCCTCCTGGGCAAAGAAATAAAAACTAGGGAGTACTTAACATAAAGTGACAGGGACTTTTTGAAAATTATCTCAAAAGTGGTTCTAATATTTTTCTTTAATTTTCTAAAACAAGAAAGTAAATTAAATTAATAAAGATGGCATAGGTCTGTTTTTCATTGTTAACTCTGAATTTTCAAACATTTTAGTTGTTTCATTTAGATTTATTCAGTCAAAAATCGTATGTGACGTAGGGGGAAAAGATTATCTGCGCAAGTTTTCTTAAGTTTCTGAATCCCTTTCCGTCATTTAAACTATAAATAGTTGAAAGGTGAGTAAAAGTTTAACATAAATAAAATAAATTTTAAAAAATCGCAAGATTGGCAATATTTGAAAAATAGTCAGTTTTGTTTTTGAGGTATAGAAAACTTATTTCCATCGGTACACGAATTGCAAGTATGATTTTTCTGCTTTGCTAACAAAATCGCAACTCGCCCTTACCTCTACTCTTACCATTACAAGCAAAAGGAGAGTTCAACAAAACGTGCGCAAAGTGAAGCTAATTTTCTATCTTATTCCAACTATTAAAAAATTGAAGTAATTGATATTACAACACCGTGGCAATGTGTAACAGAAGCTGGATGCCAGCAGGCAACGAAATGCGTCATGTGATCACGAGGTCCGCAGAGCAAAGTTTTCACAATCTGCTACGCAAAATGAAAACTTTCTTCGACCCAGGGGAAACCTGAACGTGAGAACTCTGCGGAAGCGTCTGCGATCGACGCTACATTCAGAAGTGTAAAGAAAGAATTGAATTGATGCCTTATTTTACGTGGCGACTCAGGCCCGAGGCCTGCTCTTCCGTCTGACCACGTGAATTTCACTACGCTCCTTTCAACTAGCAGAGAAAGGAGGTATTTCTGGGGAGAGAAACATGCGATTTGAATTTAACTCAGATGCGTCATTTAGGCTTGAAGATCTTTTACATGCAAGTAAATCTACTAACATGGGACAGCCGGCTTTATGTCCCCTTCAACTTGAGTCCGTCACGCTAACCGTTACACCATCGCCGCGCGCGCAAGAAGGCTGTCATCACCCAGTATGCACGGATGAACAGTAACTGTGTGACTTAGTGACGGCCTTTAACTGTGATATTTATTTTTCTTTTATTGCCGTACTCTCTGTGGAGAGATTGCACACATGAGCGTTTTTCAATGTAATAAAAAATTTAAGACAAATTATTCCTTTAGATAAATCCCTCCTTAGTTCTTTCATTAAAGTAAGTTACATTTTTTTGAAAACTTAAGTATTTTATATCTTTATAGCGCACAATACGAGCAAAATTAAAAAAATACAAAAAAACAAGATTTTCTCGAAAACTGCTCCAATTTTTATCTCCGATATTTTGATAGCGATAGTGCTAAATGTAGTCTATAAGATAAAATACTCCATATTGCTGTTTTTTCAAAAGTTACAAAAATATAATATATTTGACTTGTCTCTCATATCGTTAATATTTATATTAGCAGCGATTTGTTCACATTGCATTTATGAGTACAAGTACTTCAAATTTGTATTTATTTACGTCAAAAACAGTTGAAAACTGTGTGTGACGTGCTATGGGGAGACGTTAATTTGAAGCAAATGTCCAGAAGAAAAACAAGGGGCCATCTCAGCAATTGCTTGAGGATCAGAGAAAGCGAAGATCACGAAAACTTGATCGAGACGGGGTCATTGACCCAGAAGCTGAAGTACAATACTTGTTACAGGATCTATAACAATTATTACCACAATCTGAGTTCGCTTTATATGTTCTTATGTAATCCATTTAAAATTTGTTTATTCATATATATATATATAATATAATATATATATATATATATATATATATAGTTAATAAATATATTGTAACGTTTTCTCGCAGATTGACTGAATTAAAACCAATAACAATATTTAAACAAAGAAAGTTGAGTCGTGAACAATCTTATACACTAAATATTACTTTGTCTTATTTACAGAATATATTACACTTAATATTTTTCTTTACACACAATTCGGTCTCTTGATGATTTATTTATCACCAGTTCACTTTTTAAACACACTTCCTTTTATTACACCTTCTCTTCTTCGTATCTAGTATCAAGCCAGTCCGATGCACTGTCCACGTCCACTGCCCCCCCCACTTGGGAAAACCCCCCCAAAAATTTTTCCCCTGCACAGACCACATTTCCCTGTGCAGACCACAATTCCTTGCGGTCGACCCACGACTCCACTGCGCACACCCAGGGCCACTGTACTTGGCTGTTTACCGCGTATGCCCAACTTCACAGCTCAGCTTCCACTGCAGACTTCAAAACTGCTGAGCGTGGCTGTTTCTCCACTGCACCACTGCTTACCGATGCACCCTTCACAGCTCAGCTTCCACTGCCCAGAACTTCAGACTGCTGTCTCTGTGTCCAAACATAACCTGCACCACATCTTCAACCGTAATTGCACATTTCACCAGCATAGCTTCCACTTCGGGCTCACTGACCCGGACTGACTGCTTCTCTGAACTACTCACTAAAACGTCGTAACAAACCACTACTTCTAACGTGCGACGTCTTTCTACTAACTGACTCGCGCCACCGGCAGCGGCGCATATACCCTGCCCGGCGCTTGTCTTCAGGACACCCGCATCATTCTCGGCGTTTCCCGCGCGCTCAGCGGATATGTCCAAACCGTTCTAGTTCGGGGGGTTGAGGAATTGGTCGCCGGCATCAGATGACCGAATCCAAAACCGAACGCAGAGCGAATTCGGCTCTAGCGCTTCATAAGTTGATCGCCAATATTCGTAACAATAATATTTATTACTTACCTAAAATATTATTAAGTATTATATAAATTATATCTATAACCTATATATAGTATTATATCGTGACGCATGGGATGTTGTAATCCCATAACGCCACCGTCTTACCCCTGTGGAACACCCAACAAGGCAGCGAGGATAAGCATTACGCGGCGTAAATAGCAGCAGCTCTTAAACGCGCAACCTGTTATCCCGTTGATTACGGCATCTTAGAGCAAGCCTCGAAATAGCCGTCCAGAAGGTTTTTCCCAGTCGATAGTGGTGAATAAGGATGATAGTCAAACCACTCCCGTTCAGAAAGTTTCCCCAGCTCGAGCCATAAATAAACTGTATAAGACGCTTCGGGGAGCCGCTCTCTGATATTCCAGCAACGACCAAACGTCGCATCGGCAACGCTTGAATCACAGCAAGGTCAGCAAGGTGTTTCTCGAGGATAGAAAGAGTAGCAAATTTATTTAACATACGTGCGGCATAGAGTATAAAAATAATTAGAACTACCAAATGATACCGCCATTTATGCAGCGTACACACTTTATGCTAAGATTACACAACGAACCACCTGAATCGTGCAATATATCCACCTGAGAAGATATGGTAATGTTCTAACGGAACGCGAGATGAACTGAAGAAGAGAAAAAATATGGCCGTAGGATATCGTCACTGAGAAACCGGTAAGAGACGTGTTCGCCCGAAGGCGGCGTAACTGGACTGAGAACGAACCGAAGGCAATCTGAGAGCTCACGGCACAGACTGAAGCGTGTTCTTGACATAATTGCGAACCCCGCAACAATATATATAGTATATATATATATAATATATATATATTATGATATATATATTATATATATAACCCGGGTGTCTAATACTCTCCAGGACCTGTTATCGAAACCAACGTCACACATTAATGTATGCAGCTCTATTTGGAAAATGCGTTAAGACCTTCCTGTAACCCAAAGCCACAACAAAGAAGACAAAACAGATTTTTTAACCACTCAATATGTACACTGATTCCAATGTCATATACAGCGCTAACAACCGTGAAGGAACACATGCGCAATTGAAACGTACAAATGCTTGCCATTTTTTTGGCCAATTAATAATTCAAAGTTTAATAAACTATCATTTATATCTCTAGCAAACCAATGGAACATGGCGACCACTAGCTTCCGGCAACCTCACACCAGAGCTCTGGAAAACCTATTACAGGACAGCCACCGCCTATCAAAAGAATATTCTAGCACGATTTTGCCTAACCCTACCCCAATCCTAACTCCTTTCCATTTTGGTCGCGTGCTTTATGTATGTGTACGCCATTGAGCGCGTAGAGGCGCTACGCGAAAATACTACCTGGCGCGTTCCTATGACAATTTGACCTCGCACAGACGTGACGGATATGAATGACAACCGGCTAAAATAATTAATGAAGGATTACTCCCGCGCTTGTTAATGAGAGAAAAAATTAGCCTAAAGTACTATATATAGTAATGGTAATATGTTAATGCGGCAAAGCAGCTCAAAAGCTCCCCAACGGGGCTTGTGGCACGCGTAATGTGAATTGAAGTAACAAATGAAAAAAATATCGGAAACGTCATAATAAAATTAAAGTATTGCGGGAGTATTTACCCGTGAAAGCTTGATCAGTTGCAGTCGTCTTCATAGCAACGCGCTCAGGGCGGTGTACTTAATATGGCAGTGTTTTTAAAACGTCCTTCCTATTTGAAAGTAGTTGGATGGAGGCATGAAGAGTGGCTGGGAGACGGTGTTGAGAGGGGAGTAAGTCCGCCGATTTTACTGCCCACCGGCAAGAACGCTGTACAGGAGGCTTTTACGCGAACTAATTTTTAAAAACAAAGTGTGATTTTCGTGAATTGTTCGTTTGCATTTTGCGGTTGCATGGACGACAGACGGTGAACAAACGGTTCTGTTTTATAGTTGTGATATTCGCTTCTCTGCGAACGTTTGCCAAAGAGAGTAAGTATTATTTGTTGTGTTGGGTGCAAGCTAATTTTTGCTAGAGAAAATGCCAAATATAGGCGTTTTAGGAGTACCCAATTCCACAATACCAGAAGAACAAATTCGGAAAACCAAGGTTATTTCTTTCCAAATGTCCTTGACGGTAAGTGAATTGAAATAATGCTATGATTCTCACGAATGGTTTAACATTATTTCGAATAATGTATATTTTTGTAGTTTTACATAATAACCTTGGCTATTTTTATTAAAACACATCTAATTTTGCCTAACATAAACCTAACTAGTTTAACAATTGTATAACAAAAACAATTTATTTTATATCGTCATTTTAATACCCAATACCTGAAATCTAATACTTAGTTGTTTTACTATTATTTAGTAAAATTTATGTAATACAAACATATATTCATAATTATAGAGTTGATCTATTGAATGATAGGCCAATGTGAGACTCAACATTGGCTGATTTCTCCTATTGCAAACCTGATACACAGAAGGTTATGGGTGCAATGAACATTTCATATGGTGGCCAAGAATGTTGACTTGCGATCAGAAAGAGCAGGATGGAATAGCCGATACCTATCATATTCAATCGAGTGTGCGCCTGAAGTTGCAAGAAGATAGCACGTAAAATAAGCCATTAGATTCAATTCAAGAAGCCTACAGGAACATTTTTTAGAAGGCATACACCAACAGGCGTAAGTTATGTTTTTAGCCTCTAATTAAAGAATAGACCATTTGTCCAAAAATTACCAATTTTGTATTCAGATCAAGGATCCCAGTTCTCTTTGATTTGCAGGGCCAGCTCCACCTTCTCTGAAGTCACGGCAAGACATGTCGTCCAATGTCGCTCCGTCCAGTTTCTGGCCGTGGAGGTACAAAAAACATTTTTTCACATTTTTATGAATGCACGATTCCTTTTTAAGTCAATAACATCCTCCGTCATTTCGGTGTTACAGACTCGTTCCGCTCCTGGCTGAGGAAAGACGCGTGGACGTCATCTGCGAGAATCAGGAACCCTGGCTGAGCCAAGGCTTGCCGTTATTGCCCCCAGACTCACCTATTCCAATCCTGCTGCTATGTTTCTCCAAAATCCAAACGCTAATCCGTTGCGCTCAGCTCGTTATGTTCACGCTATGGGATGAAGCCAGAGAAGAACCACTGGAGATTGACATGAAAAATATTAATAACCTGCGTCAATTTTGGTTAATTTCCTGGGATCTGCATGGTGCATAAATTGTGGTCATTGTGCAGATGTGAAGAACACTATGACGATCCGTGTAATAGTAGTTTTCGCAATGAGGCTGATTTACATTGTACGCCTCCACCATGGCGATCCCTTAAAAAACAAGTTAATCTTTAAAACTAATTTATATAAAGTCCGTACTATATTGTTGGTTGGAAATATGGAGATACGTATGAATACGTCAGTGATGATAAAGAAGCCACATAATGGCAGAAACCGAGAATATAGTTCTCAATAATTAATTGAAGAGTCAGGTAGTTTATAGCTTTCGCAGTTAAGCTAGCGTTTCCATGATAATCGACCGTATTTCTGAACCAGTTCAGAGCACCCTATATATGCATGTAAATAATATAACACAAAATGTATCTAGTTTGGAACTCTTATATATGAGCTTTGAAAATAAATTGCTCTTTCATTACGGTGAGCTTGTTTCTAACACATTTCTGTATGGTTGTACTGTTTTTTCTCTAGTGAATGCATTATCGACTAATGAGATACTCGAGCACTGTCAAAACGCGTGTCCAGGGACTGGAGCGTGTGAAGGCCCATATATTTTGCATTCTAAGTCAAAAGAGATAGAGAAAAATTACGTCATAGCCAATGTAAGGAATAGAGTCGAGAAGAAAACATACTTGAATCAACTTGGTGAGCCTTCAAGTTCACTTCCTACACAGAAATGTAACAAAATGAGCACGTTTTGGTTTATTTAATAAAAATATCATTGTATGCAGGGAAGATAAACCGGTGTCGCATGTGACTATAAGGGTGGTTTAATGTTTTCATTTAGATCATTACTATTTTTCTTACAATGTTTGCCATGATGCTACTAGGTTATACATAGCTCTACATTGGATAAGAGATAATTTTTTAGTAATTAATAGTGCAATGTGAAATGTGGGAGATTCGTAATATTGGGAATTCAAAGCATACAATGCTTATGCAGTTTAGAGCTTTTCATGGAAGCGAGTGAATGAACACGCGTAAACCAGTACATTTAGACAGATGTGATTTGCATTTTTAATTGTTATATAACACGTATCTAACATCAATATAAATAGTACTAATAATTTTTGCATTTCTGTTGCACATTTTCAAAGCACCTAAATTGGTTGTGGATATAAGCGACTGACCAGCCTTAGGCACGAATCTATCAAGAATTTTTTTAATTAATTATATTATTGAGTATATTGGAATCTTAGGACTTCTTACACACCATGTATATAATAATAATTACCTTCCCATTGATTTGATTATAATACAAGAATGAATTTACATTTAATTTATGTTCTTATATTCAATTTTTAGAATGATCTCATTAATTGTTGTGAAATCGCGTTTCATTGCGTATGTGATTCTATGTAACTATTTATATATTCTTTCTCTGTTTCCATGTTAGTGATTGTGACAAATATATTATTTGGTTCACAGTATAGTGATAATGATAGTATCCGAAAATGATGATTGCCCAAGATTTGTTCCTTTGTTTCAGCGATAACAGGATTTTAAATTTGCTATGCACAATTGTTATTTCTGATGTATATGTATCCAATTCTTGGACAAAAAATAATAAAATATTTATTTTATAGTTAAAAAAAAAATACCTTTTTTAATTCTTCACTTTGCCTATTATTCATCAATTTACATTCAACTCCTCATCAAATTACATATCCTTTAAGAATTACCTGGACTTCTACATTACTTTTTATGCGATTCATTTTTACTGTCAAAATCTGTTTTTTTAGTTATAACCATGTCTCGACCATAGTTAGAAAAGTTTACTAAAAATGTTAATTTCAAATTAGCCCGTTCTACGTCCGTCCTCGATTTCAATTGTGTGACTGCCTTTTCGGACTTCTTATTGCTGCGGGGTTAAAGTATTTCGCTTGAACCGTCTTCTCATAAAACGTTGTGCTGTTTGTGGGGAGTATTACGAATGTCTCCCCTCCACGAAAATAAGGGCTTTCCGTTTAACATTGACTGCCGTCTCTGATATATACTCTCTGACGTCGCTTTGCATGGCGGCATCAACCAACGTCAGGGCCAACCACGGTCAGGGAACTCTGCTCCAGAGACGAAAATTGACTACGAAACGCGTACGCTATCTGGCGTGCTACTTGTGTTGTGGTTGTGGGGGCCAAGGCCAGAAACTCCGCGTAACTTTCGATTCATCGAGAACAGCAGAAAAGCGCCACGTTTGCCATCACTGTCGCATAAGAGACCGTACTTCATTCTTAACCTCCGACGCGCCATAGTTACTTTGAATTGCACAAAAACAAAAAATGAATATATTCACAATATATAGAGTGAAGAATTACTTTTATAGGTGTTATTTAGGTTGTACGTGTGTGTTACGTATATTGTTTCTCATATGTTTTCTAACTTTAATAAATACTGGTCCGAAGATCACTTGACTTCTTAACAGCCGGCGGCTGTTAAGAAGTTAAGTGAACGAGTCCTTCCAAGTTGAATACCCCTGCATTAGAGGATACATACAAATCTTGGATAAACAAAAACATTTCTCATGGATTTAAAGTGTCTTTTTTAAGGATTTGGACCAGCCGCAGTCATTTTACTAAATGTTTTTGACGGGGGGGGGGGGATAACAGGAGACTGTCTTAAACAGCAAATAGCTTCTACTTCGCGCCAATGAAGATGTGTTTGTAATACGAGTACCATCAGTGCTTGCTGCGGTCTTTTACAATTGTTTATTATACCAGAGAGGGAAAAGGTAGGCCATTAGTAAAGAATAGTTGTGGGGGTAGTATTTTTTGTAAAATGATTTTTTGTAGATATGTCGGTTTTACCAGAAAGTATTAATTACAAGAATACGTCCCGGTACTTCTTGACAATAAGAAATATCAATAAACATTTGATTGTGAAAGAGTAATAAATATGAAATTGATATTTATATGATTACACAGGAGTAAATTCCTTTTAATATTTTATTATTTCTTAGTACATGCTAATTATGAATTCGATCGATTGCCAACAAAAAAATTCAAATCATCACGACGTTATAAGATGCTACCAAAACCTTCAAGAAGCTATATTGGAAATGCAGGTTTAAATAGCTCTGTCCAGTCTTTAATTTCGAATTGCATTTAAAATTTCCGCATAATCTGTGACGCACTGATATGCGAATACTCATTGGCTGATGGCTGTTATTCTACAAGTATGAACACACAATGTGCAGGAGCCACCATTGAGCCAGCAGTAAGAGAGTATTATGGAGCAAATTTTCGCATTCCCTGCCTTATCCACCCACAGACGTGCTCTGTGACGTTGCTGAGTCAGACCACAGGCAGAGAGTATATATATCCACGTACTGGCACATGCAGGCGCAGGTGCACATGTGCACGTGCACATCGCTAATCTGCTGCGCGCACACCTGGCGCACACTCTGACAGCTCTTTTGAACTTCCTTACGTCAGTTTACTATGGTTCGGTTTAATTTTATGATCCGAAGTAGAGCACTATCATGTAACTGGTTACAACCAAACTGTAGATGAGCAGAACAAAGTATTATTAATATTTTTAATTCCTTTATATTAAATTTCAGCGAAAGCAATTAAATAATAATTGTGTAGAGTATTGTAAAATCCTAAACGGAAATGTTAATGTCTTCATTCTACAGTGTGAAATGGTTTGGTATTGATGCCCGTATGAAATAGTATATTGAGTGATATATTATACAAAACTCGTTACATCCGAATGAAAAATTGAAATGGCGCTTAATGAACCGTTTATTAAGGGCACCTGTGAAAATATGTGCCCAGAAAAAGAGATAAAATTGTAAGGATATGTTTATATTGTTAATTTAATGTTTAATGCTTTTACTTACTAAGATATTTTCTGCAGTCGAGAAAAAGAGGGCCTCCTACATCCATTTGAAATAATGAGGAGCAGTGAAAAAACAGTACGTCTAAAAGCTGACCCAGCAAGAACCGTCAAGAAGTATGCACGAAGTGCTGCTGGGCAATCGATGCCCAAACCATCAGATCTGAGGACTCCTCAAGCCCTTAAGAAAACTGTCAGCTATTTGCTCAACGAGTATGCTTTCATTTGTTGCTTCTGCCAGGTTATTGTTCATATACATACCTTAAATTAATCTTCTGGATTTTAGTTATGAATGCACAATATTTTCATTACAATTTTGCAGCATAACTACCATGGAAAGCTGTGATTGGTGTACCGTCTATGACTTTGTATTTGACCGATTGTGTGCAGTGAGACAGGATGCTGTTATTCAACATTTGGATGTTACACATTCTATTGATATTATGAAGCCAGTCGTAAGATTTCTTTCCTATTCAGGATACAGGTACAAAAATCTTTTAACACCAATTTTGCTAATTTTATATAAAAATATTTTCTATGCATTCCTTTATATTCTGCCATTCCTTATCCTCATCATCAACAGTTGGAATACTTGACAGAAATTGTTGTAATCGATTTTGATATAGTATTTTTATGCTTTCTTGTTCAAGTAAGAACACTTTGACGAGGACATGAAAATTTCCTGACTTGTCTCTTTCCTTGGTCTAATTTTCTTCCATTTTGCTACCATTACTATCGTTGCAATCACTAGGTAGTGGTCTGAATATATATCACATCCTCGGTGTACTTGTACATTCTCTATTTGGTTACTAATTTTATCATTTGCGATTACATAATCTATCAGTGATCTGAGGCCTCTGGCACTCCCGGTGAACTTGTGTATTTCTTTTTTCCTGAAAAAGGTATTAGCAATTTTCATCTTATTGAAGGCTGCAAACTGTCTAAGTTCTTCTCCGTTTTTATTCAAGTGCTGTTCTCCAAATACCCCGACAACTCCCGGAATCGGAATGTTACCAACCCTGGCGTTTAGGTTGTCACAAACGAGGACATGATTATTTTTGTTTATTTTGCTTATTTGTTTTTGAAGATCGTCATAAAACGTCTGTGTGTCCTCTTTCCTTCCTTCTTCTGGGGCATACACGCCTACAAGTATTAAGTGGCCCCTCTCTATTTTGAATTTGCACGTCGCAATTCGCTCATTTACAAAGGAATACTCCTATTTTTCCACCTCTTGTTAACCATAATTGCTACCCCACTACTTGCCCGTCTATTTTGAGTTACTTCATCATATAATGTTTCATATCTTTTCTACCTTTCAGCTTTTTTTTTTTTGGTTTCCATTATGACAGCTATATCTATTCCTTTTTCATTTAGTTTGTTATCTGGTTCTTCTTCTTTATTACCTAGCCCTCTGACATTCCAGGTAGCTAGTTTCAGTCGTCCCGTAATACCAAATCTTTTATCCTTGGCATGCTTAAGTCGTTTCCATGATCCATTCACTTGTACATTGTGAAGATTTTTGACTCTATACTGTTAAATAACTTCTAAACAAAGCCATCTAGGGCCCTAAAGATTAAAATGTAGAGGCCAAAAGCCTAAAGTAAAAAACTATCAGCACCTCAGAATCTGCAGGATGAGATCTTTTCGACACTTCTTGATAATACCTCACCTGCTCAGAGAGTTGCAGAATCTGCAACTAAATGTGCATGAGAGGGAGAGGTGAGGGGGGCGAGACAGGGCGAGAACAAGAGGGAGAGGTGAAGAGAGAGAGAGGGAGGGGTGGAGAGACAGAGAGTGAAAGAGGTTGAGAGAGAGAGACACATCGAGAACGACGGGAAGTGGGAGATGAAGGGCAGAACAACATCTGCCAGGTTCTGCTAGTTATTTATATAATAATAAATCATGTATATAAAATAGTTCTACAGCTTAGAGACAATAAAGACCATTTTTCTTTCAAATCCAATTCTTATCATTGAAAGAAAAAACAGTCACTTACAATAAAAACAATTTATTCAGCAGAAAAATAAGTAGCAGGAAGAAAATATGGTAAAAACAAATGAATACACTATCTGACATTCCTAAACTAAGACTAAACTAAAAACTATGACTATTTACAATATTAATTCAAATTAGAACATTAAGAAATTTTTTTCCAATGTCTTTTATGTTGGGCACTTCCACAACAAGGGAACCATTATAAATTTTTAAGCACTCCAACAAAAAAGGGAGTTTTGTGCACAATATATTTTATTAACTCAAAATTCTTCTGTCTTTGTTATATTTGGCATCTTTGCTTCATGTCATTATTGCCAAATCCAGGAATATTTGAATGGAGGGTAAATGGAACCTGTGTCACTTTTAAAAGTTACAATAACTAATACAAGTATTTTGTTCTATTTCAGAAAAAAATAAATAAAAAAGAGAAAATTGAGGATTTTTTTTAAAATTATTATTTTTCAAATTTTCTTCACTTGAAGCAAAAATTACGCAATAAATCTAATTTTAAAAAAATATTCTAAATGATCTTATTTAAAGAAAAAAGTTCATCCTGTTTTTGTAAGGTGCCATATTTCACCGGAACTGGTAGTATATTGATAGTATTCCTACCAGGTGAGAGATTCACAAATGTCAAATTTTCCTTGCGTAAAGAGTTTTATTTTTTTTGCAAGCCGTTTCAATTACTTCATTTGTTATTGAAAACATGCAGTATAAAACCCTACAATTTCTCCAATGTAATTGGCATTTTTGTTTTGAAACCGAACATGGTTCCCAACTTCAAACTTATTCATGTTTCATCGTAATTTCAACATGCTAGGATATAAGTCATCATTTCAACATCTTTATATTCTGAGGTTTTGCAGGATCATAATTTCTAAAATATCTTCAGAATCACTCCGAGGAAATATTTTATTGTAACATTGTGTTAAAAAGTACACCCCAAAATACCACTTTTTAGGGCTGAATATCAAAAACTTGGCTGCAAGAATCAAATGGCTTCATCGTATCAACAGGTCACTAATGCCCTCTAGCACAAAATCTCAGACATGTCCTACAAATTTGTGTTGATAGGTAAAAGTCTCCCCTGTCCTTGCTCAAACTTCTAGGTATTTATTCTAAGAGCACTACCACTTATTTACACAAGTTTTCTTCAAGCTTATGAATGACAAACTTCATACACATTTTACAATTTTGAAAGAAAAATTAAAATTTGAAAAACTGTACTTGCGAAGTTGCATGATATTGAAAAAGAAAACTTTAATTTATTTGGAAATGTGTTTAAATTTTAGGATGTGTGAAGAATCTTTGCAGAAATATGATCCTGCAATTAATTTCCATCATTTCACAGAATGCTTGAGGAAATTATTGAACTTATATGAGCAATTTGACTATGAGAATATACCAACAGAAAGCAATTATTCATGTGTCTGTGAGAGAGCACAGTTTGAGGCTCTGTATCTTGTTACATTCTTGGGAAATGTAGATGCTATTAGTAGAGGATTGATGCTGAAAAAGGAATTGAGGTTAGTGAGTTAGTTAGTAAGCAAGTATTGTTTTGATTTCTTTTAACAAGGATGAAATTATGTACCAATATCTTTTTCAGGAGTCCTGTTGTGAATTTAGCCCTACAATTGAGTATTGCCTATTTTGGAGGAAACTACATCAGAGTTTGTAGAATAATTAGAAACTTGCCGCCTTTGCTGCAATGTAGTGTTGCTTTACGTTTACCTAATATCAGAAGGTAGAGTTCAATTTATAATTTATATTTGCTATATTTGTTATTAATTATATACCTAAAGGCATGTATTATATTTCTTTTCAGAAATGCATTACTTACAATGAGTAGTGCATTTAGTGGCCGTAATCTTCAATATCCTGCCTCTGCCCTTAAAACAGAACTACTATTTGAGAAAGAAAATCAAGTTATAGATGAATGTTTATACTACGGAATAAAAGTACAAGAGAAAAATATTTTGTTTCAAAAAGGAGTGTTCAAGACTGAAACTGCTGTGGTATGTATGAATTTCTAAACCTATTCCAAAATATGTTGGCCTAATATATATTAATATTAATTATTTATTACTGGTAGTTAGTTAACCCTCTGCTACTTGATATAGGCTTCACTTCCGTAGTTTGATAGAGGGTCTCTGTAAAAAGTTGTGGGTACATGCACCAGCCATCACCACCACCCAAACGAAGGAAGTAACAAGAAGGGTCATTTACAATACAGCTTTTGTTATTACTTACGAACTTTGATACTTGCCACACAACTGTGACCATCGGTTGGCTTCCATGCAGGAAAATTCGTTCTGATAGGAAGATCTACATCCTAGAGGATGTTAGTAGTCTGGAAGAAGACAACCTGAAGCCAAGAAGAGACCCTTCTTAAACAATACTATCTCGAAGATAAAACCATCACTGTACTCAGTGAATATAACACATTTATGGAAACAATGGTTAATGGCAACACTGAAGAACATGAATGCTTCACCTTGAAATCCAAACAAAACCAACTGAACAGTCCGATCAACTAGGGCCAGCCCAAATGTGCTGTAACTGATATTGTGCCAAAAAAAAATTACAGATGCAGAAGAAACAATGGACAGATGTAGAAGAAACTGTGTACCTACTGCTCCTCCTGCTGCAGGCTATAGAACAAGCCAGTAACTACAGTTGTGCTACAGAATGACATAGACTTTCCCCTATTTGTTTAAGCACTACTGTAAATTCGAAATTTGAAGCTCTTTTTTTCACAAAAAGTTCTAGTTCTTGAAAAACTTTATTGGAAGTCATTTGAAGCATATTAACTCACAAATACAATAGTGCCTACAAATTGCTGGAAACTTGCTAATATTAACAGCATGTGAAATCTTTCAAAAAAATTAAATTTGTATAATTCATCATCATGTCATATGAACAATGCAATTAGCACTATTCGGTTGAAAAGTTTGAAGAAAAAATTTGGAGTTGTTTTTGAAAAAAATTTGTGTTTTTTATTATTTTTTTTTAATTGCAAATGTTGAACACAATATTACACGACAACTACTAAAGGTTTCAACTACGGACTATGGAACTAACTATGGACAACAAATTTTGTTTAAAGGAAAAATCTCTATCTTAACCATGAAAATCAGAACTATGCCACTTGTGTATGTTGTACCATTCTTAACAGATTTTTTTTTTTTTATTTGGATCAGTTTTTGAGAAAATTTTGAAAATACCTGGAGGGCCTCATGTGAAGTACCCCCAAATTTTAAAGAATGTTTTTCAAAATTTCAAAGCTTCAAACCGCCGCAAATGGACAGGAGTTTCTTGAATTTGGAAAAAATCCTACGCATGCTTTAGTTCCTAGTAGTGTTCACAGACATACAGATCGACGTTTTGAAAAGAACCACCTTTTTGGTATCAGGGGACACCAAGTATTTCCATTGAAATCGATTTTCCGAAGCATTACATAACTTTCCCTTTACTACATATACTACTCTGTATATATGTACATATGTGGGAAAGTAATAATAAGGTTTAGCGCACTGAAGTTGTCAATAGTGGATTGGTTGATGACTTCAGACTAACGAAGATGTAAAAAGCAAGTCAAGATAAAGATGAAAAATTGCTCTGCACCGCGCCCAGACTGTGACTGCTTACCACCTCGCTCAAACCTCTTCACTCTAGACTCCCTCAAGAGATGGATAATCTATTTCAACGAGACTCATTACCAGTGTGGATGAATACCGGGCAGAGTACATCAAAGACTAGGAAAATGGACCTGAACTGGGCAAATAACCCCCCGCCCACAAATAATATTTCTACCAATGACAAGTAAGCACTTTTCAACTAGAATAGCAGATGAAATACAAAACCACCTTGAGGATACCCATTTGCTGCCAGAAGATCAAAAAGGCAACCGATAACAATCCAAAGATGCATTGATTACAAGATGATTCTACAGGTTCAAAACAATGCAATAAGGCTGATGAACTTGCACGTTCCATGGATCAACTACAAGGCATATGACCTTCAGAAACACAGTTGTATAGTGCGGAGTCTTCAACATCTGGGAGCACATCAAAAGATAATGAAATTCTTCCAAAAATTAGTGCATCTCTGGAAATTTTGTATTGCCACGTACGGACAACAGGGGGTTAGCATCCATTGGTGTGTAGGAAGCACCATTCCCTTTCAGTTTGAAAACTTATGTTTGGAAATCATAAAATACAAAGTGTGTCCGGAAAGTAAGTTGAATGATTTTTTCCTGCCATTCTTGGAAGACTGCATTGTTATGACTGGTGAGGGTTTTGGGAAGGTAATGCGTCCCTTACCAATTGCCTGCTGGCCTTTGTGTGGTGCAGATGGCTTGTAGGTGTGCATGTATTCTATTGTCACGCCAGTAGATCAAAATGCCATGATTCACTGGCAACATGCGATTAAAATTTGTGTTAAGACAGGAAAATCAGGCTCCAAAACCATCACAATGCTTAAATAAGTTGTGGAGATGATGTCCCAAAACATGATTTACTGATGGCAGAAGGAGGATGTCGACAATGAACAATGGTCTGAACGCCCTTCCACATCCCATGGATGTCATACTCTAGTAAATTTACTTGAAAAAGACATTGAAATGCCCCAAAACAGCCCCAAATGCTTTGCGTCAGGAAGGAGATCAGTGGAACTTTTCTTCAATAAAACACCTTGTGTTTTATTGCACGTTGCACGTCCATCCCAAGTTGGCTTGTTACTCATCTTGAATCAAACTACAAAGGTCACTATTCTCTGAAGGTTTACTGCTACCAAAGCAAATAAAGCCAACGCCACAATCCCAGCAGCTTAGGCCAAGGTCGCCACCTGGGCCTTGCATGAAATGTTGAATTTGAATTGTAGGCAAACACACAAGGTAGTATGAATTTGTGTGACCTCCTACTGCCCTGTATTTCATATCTTGTGCATTCACCATCTGTGTAATTAATTTTAAGTATAAAGTGTAGTTTGTAAGTATCTTATAAATTGAGTGTAGTGACAAAAATTGTCATAGTGATGTTGTGTCACTGAATACTAAGTGCAGGGTGCAGGCAACACCAATCTGGTTATCTGTATGAGTTGGTAACTCATATCCAACGTGAAATACAAGCGGTGGGGTCTCCTGACTCAGGACCTAGGGCATAGGCAGTGAAGGAAAGTGTTAACCCTCACACTACTCTTTCCGCATACATGTGTAGAGTAAAATTTAATTTATAAACAAAATCCTGATTTATTTTAAATCATATTATTGTAAGTATATGGGGGGAAAAAATTGGAGCTGTTTTTGACAAGATAAGAATGAAGCGTTTCTGAAAATCTGAAATTTTGAGATACTTCATAAGAATTTAAAGCACTTTTACTTGTAACTCCAACAGTGTATAAAGAAAATCTGCAATACATTAACGACAGGAGAGATATTTCAAAATAATTACATTTGTGTCATTTTTGAAAAACCAAAACAAAACATCAAATGGCTTTTTTGTCGCCTCCAGATTTTGAGTCAAGTTTTGAGAGCGAGAAAATTTTTTTTTTGTTTTTATTAACAAGGAACCTCAAAATGTGCATTCCCCTTAAAAACCCAAAACTCATTTTCCACAGCTCTACATTTCTTTATATAAATACGAACAAGGGAAAGTAGAATGTTGCTGATTACTTGTAATAAAACAAACTCTGTTTAACCCAGTTAATGATAGTGAGGGAACTAAATGTTTAAGCTGAGAATGTATTGTAAAATAAAATCTTCAAATTTGATTAAAAAGCATGGAAATCTGTAAATAAAATGACTGTGAGTGATGTAGTCCAACTTGATTTACAAGTAGCATCATATCAGCCTTCTTTCTGAACAGTCAATTGCAAACTCTTAACAAACATTTTGATTGCAGAGGCCATTGAATCACCAACTCTTTGTTGATGAAGCTTTGGAGAGCTGCCATTTATCTGATCTTCTTCTTCAGTGTTCTCATCACTGCTAACAACAAAAACAGTTTAGCTTCAGTGCTTTTGTGAATGAAAAACATATTTTGCTTTGTATTTTAAGATGTTATATTTTAAATAAATGTGTTATAATATTTAGACATTTTAAACTTTGGTACCTTTTATGTGAATGCTTTGGACTATTGAAAGTCGTGTACTCTGTATTTCCTTCCTGTGTCAGATCCATTTTCTCTACATTTATCAGCAAGAAAACTGTTCTAAACTAAAATTACACTACTTGTCTTGCTAGTTTTTCCTTTTAACCCTGATGCAATTTAGTAAATCAAAATTTTTCACATCATTGGCGTACAAGAAAAGTAAAATAAGTATTTGTGAAGAAGGGGAAGAAAAAAAAAAAAGAAAGAAAGAAAGAAACAACATCAATTCATTTAATTCCCGCTAATGTCAACATATAATGAATCTCTTTTGAGAGTTGCAAAACAAATTTCAATGTATTTAAAAATGCAGCAGTCACTTCCTATATGATTTCATGCATCTAGTTAATAATTACACACTAATTAGTAAAAACTGCAAAGACAAATGAAAATTCCAACTAGTTCACCACTAATTTTGAAATGTATTCATAAAAATCTTATATATTATTTTAATTTTGTAATTTCACAAGGGAAGAGAGTTTTGCCCCTAAATGAACCTGGGCTTGCTAAATAATAATTTTAGGATATTGGGCCAAAAGGCTATTAAATAAACAAATATGAATGTTAATTATTTCAACTGTATTTAATGCTCAAACTTACACAAAGAAGAACAATCTTTTTAATACACTAGAACACAAGGTAAAAACTGGTAATAAAATTGCACAAAGGACAAAAACAAAGCTAACAAGAATCACCAACACTTGAAGAATCAACAGAGCTCCTTTTGTAATAACTTCTTTACGATCTTCTGCAAGTCTTATTTCAGTCACACTCTTAACAACAAAATCATAGACATATGGAAATACTTCAAAAACAGGTATCACTTGTGCAATTATCAGGAAAATGTGGTAAATTACTTTAATTGCTGTCGAAGCAAGACTGTTCATTATACCCACAAAACCAGCTTGATTTACATTTGTACCATCATGAGTCCTTTCATCCCTGCTCAGAATACTTGGTACAGACATATCAGGTCGATCGATATTAAGATGTTCATAATTCATTTTTCCGAACTGTTTATAGTTCTTATCAGTGCTAAGAGGTTCTGTCAACATTGCAAGTTTTCTTTCTTCTAATTTGTTCATTACACCCTGCACACAATAGGGATGATAATAGCAGGCAATATACAGGTTTCCTGCATCATAAAGTGAAATCCATCAACTCGTTTTTTAAACACAACAGCAAGAGCATTAGGACTGTTGCAATATCAGAAAAAGGATCTTCTGGTGCAAAGGTGAAGAAGCACAATAATTTGACAAGCCGGATTTCCATTACAAGCCATCTGATAGGCAAGTTTCTTTGAACCATGTGTGCCTTGTATACATGAAGGTATTAACTTTTTGAAAAAATTGCTTCCTCCTAGAAAGTAGCAATTCTACTCGAGTTGCTTGTAGAATTAGAAATGCGTATCTGATGTTCCTTGTTGCATTGTCCAGTATTTGCAATTAGCTTCAGGTATCATTTATTGATGGCATGTTTCTGTAATAGTAACTTTTATGGCTCTACTTTCAAAACTCAAATTCTCATGAAGAACACTTGAGATCTCAGCACCTGCTGCTGACATTGCTCACTGGAATTTGACATGGTCCCTTGAATACTGCCTAGTAACAAGGCAAAAATATTTGTCTATTGTTATTTGACATTGTTACCCTTAACAAGGCCTTAAAATCTGGAAAAATTCTAAGCTTGATTATTGAGAACCATATAATCAATTCAATTTTATGCAACAACTAGTTCCAGGATAATCAGGCAAGTTCAGATTATACTTTGTGGCTAATGCAGGAGGAACAAATCTTCCACCCAGATAGTGATATTTTCCTTTAAACGTATTAGCACACTTTTTAGGGGCAGTCAACGATATAAGTAACTCTGGTTTAATACCCCCACTTGCAGGAATGCCAGTTTCAACATCCCAACCACTAGGTATATCAATACTACAGATTGGTGTGTGTGTTTCTTGCAGACCATCTAAAATACTTGCAAATTCCGGACGTACTGGAGGCTTGAAACTAAAACCAAACAAAGCATCTACGAGAAGATCATATGTACAATTTAGTTCATTCACATCAGGGACTTGTTCCAGAAATGGTATTTCCATTGCTTTACACTGAACTGTTAAATTCTGATACAACTCCTTCTCCGTTCTTTTGGGATAATATACAACAGGGTTATAACCAAATAATTTCAGGTGCCTGGCACAAACAAGTCCGTCACCTCCGTTATTACCGGGTCCACAGCACACGAGAACAGCTTTATTAATTTTCTTTAAAGGATAACATTCAGCAATAGATACTGCGCAACTTAAACCAGCCAACTCCATTAGTTGATCGACACTGAATTTGTATGTGGTAAACAATTCTTGGTCGATGTTTATTGCTTCATTTTGTTCCAAGTACTTCATTGTGTAAGTACAATATTTGTTCCGCAACGAAGAAAACTCTGTTCCTTTCTTGCTAATATGTCTTAAAAATCTATACAATTGTAAACCGTGTTGGGAAAACATGAATCGGCAAAACTGTTTTAACCTACACAATGAATACCTATTTGGACTTTTGAAAGTCGTCCCATGTGCGGCTAGTATGGAAGTTAAAGATGGTTTACCCTTCCGCTGGTAGGGAACGTTCAGTTCGCTTTCTTTTATCATAGACTATCTATGAAATTTGATCCTTTGCACTTTTGTAAACTCAATATTGAAATGATGATTGGAAATGCCAAACATGAATTTTAACGCAGTTCTCAAAGCAGGAAATATTGCGATGATAAAGCGACGACTGTATTTTCTTCATAATTTCATTTAATTGTGACGTCTCCCAAAATTTGTAGTTTGAAATAGACAAATTTTGAATACGTAACATAACATTAATAAAATTGTGAATTAAGTTACGTAATTTTTCACTCTTAACTTTCCAAACTAGCTTTTCATAAACTTTCATTGCGTCATTACATTTACTTGCTAGGGGAGAAGAACCATTAACGTTTGAAACTTCAGTTGCTTTTCCCGATGCTTGTAAGGAATACTGTTGCGATAATGATAAATATTGTTGAATTTTCAAATTCAAATCTTCCAAATGCAAGATTTGATTTGCATATTGCCGTTGAAAGTCAACTGTGATCCGCCCTTCATTAAGCACAAACTTTTCTGCTTCTGAATTCATATCTCGTAATTTGTTTACAGCACATCTTTTTGCGTCTAGTGCTTTTTTGAGTTTTGCAATTTTCACTATGAAATTGACTGACATATTTGTAGATCCTTCACTCTGGGACGATTGCGGGCAAAGAGAAAATACATTTACCCATGTTTTATTATGAGGCTGAAACACTCTCGTACAGCTGGAAAATGATAAAGTTTCTATAGGCGAAACAGACATAGTTTCATAATCGGGAACAAAATGGGTACCTAAACCTTCTTTATCAAAAGTAATTCTGTAATTATTATTCGATATATCGATGGCTTCCACTATTCCTACGAATATGCCATCACGAGGTTGTCGCAAACGTGCGTTGACCTTTGTTCCAATGACAGCCCTCATGGGAATTTCATCTGGAAGGCAAGTTGGGTCGCCAGAAGGTAAAATTCTGCTATATTGAACATAACGAATCGCATTTCTTCTTCGTTCTAAATCACATCTTTCTTGTCTAAAGAAAGTCTGTGAAAGTCGTCGAGGTTTCCCCATTAATCGGCGGATCATAGTCCATTCACACCTAGTAAGCATTCTTGTGCGTAAATAAGGCATTGATTCTTCGAGAAAATTGGAAAAGTCATTTTTTTGAGCAAATGCAGGAACATCAATATTGCTTGTAAAAAATTCGTAATACAACCAACTGAATGACTTGCTCACGGCGATCATGTTACGAAGCTTAAGACCAATATTGCGAGTGTGCTCAAAAGATCTTACCTTTTGCTTCACATTACCATTCAGGGTTCTCACGGGCGATGCGCTTGTAGATCTCGAATTCTGAGACTTAACTCGTTTCTTCCGAGAAGGTATCTTCGTGGGCGTCAATCTGTTGTAAACGTAATCTGGTGAAACGTACGTTCTGCGGGGTCGTTTTGGTAAATCAACTGTCGTGTCAAGGGTACAAATTTCCCGGGATGGCGGGATTTCAGCATTCACATCTTCAATAGAGTCTTGCTTTACAAGCACATTAATCATGTCGTCAGAAGACTGTACATTTATTACAAGAGAGTCATTGACACTCAACGAAGGCTGCTCGCAATCCATGTGATATTCTTCACATTGATCAGAAGACATGAAGGCACACAATAATTCAACGCAAAGTAGAAAAAACAGTTTTACATTTGTCGGTCATTGGCCAGTTCAACAATTTGAAGGTGACCGTAATTCAAATCGTGACTTCAAACCCTTGCTGATACCGAGCACACTGAACACGTCAATCAGTATAACCAACATACTAATTCGAAACTAAAACAATTAGTTTGATGAATTATGATCTTTGCTCTGATCTCAATTTAGTAATACAGTAGTAATAGAGTTCAATGGTTCTTTGATCAGCGAAGAAAATGAAACAATAATTTGATTATTTAGATATATTGTTTTCATTTTACAACAGCTGCTTTATTTAAGTCTTCTCCAAGTGGCGCCAGCTATGAAATCGGAAATTGTTTTCAAAAGTATTAAATTGAGCTAGTTTTCTTTAAAAGTCGTATTAATGACTACCAAACCTATTAATACTACCAAAGTTTAGTTTAACAATTGCGAAGCTCCCTATGATTTCTTTTCTTCCGGTGCGACCTCAGCTCTCCCAGTGACGAGCAACAGACAGCACCATTTCGTAGAGGTGCAGCTTACGTATTTGCATGCTGCTTACACCAGAGAGTATATTACGCTTACACATGTTTTGCTTGACGGTATGTGATGATAGCGATACAATTTTAGTGCAGTGGGTTGAATCAATTGAATATTATGTATTATTTGCTCCTAGCTCACGTGCCATTGTTAAACTGTGACATCACATTGCGTCGTGCATACTCTGACACATGATTAAATGCTAACAATATACGGAAATGCTTCTACTGCAATAAATTGTAGCAACAATCAAAATATTACGCAAATGTATTCTTTTTAGGTTACCTAAAGATACAGAAAGGAAAGCGTTAACAAAATTGTTCGTGAATGATGTTATTTCAAAGCGCATTTACAATAAGCTGATTAAATGTTTTTTGTTTCACCTTCTATATGGTTTTGTGTATAATTTTTGTTCTTTCGGCGGTCAATCATTTTGGATGTTAAGAAAGATTCTATCAGCTAATAACTACCATGCAAATAGTGATATATGATATTTTATCATTTTTTAATTTGGCTTATTAAAATTATAATTACTTTTTTTAATATTTTAACTACTAAGTGTAGGAACTCCATCTCAAGAAGGTTTTTCGTGCAGTTCCCCTTGATTCATAGAGCAAATGCTGTGATAATCCCTTGTTTTGTTTCAGTACAGTAAATGTAGATGTTATCCTTCTTCTTGGATAGAAATAATTTTGTATTTTATGATAAACTTCGAATGAGCGATTTATTATGTATACATCACAAATTTTGAGATGTAATGTACATGCCTGCGCGCTGTTTTAAAATTTTAACCGCTAAAAATTATCAATTACTAGGCAGCATTTTCTTCCCTTAAAGTTTCGCAACTGTTATTCTAAATTGTACTACTACTCTTAGGCCCTTAATAACTTGTATCTCGAGAGATCAAAATGCGGTACCACAGAAATAAATGAAGATAGCCGAGCAGGTTAGCGAATCAATCGGACTTCAATGGCGCAAAGCTTTAATTCGACATTTGTCAAACTTAACGCAAAATGAAAAAGTACAGTAGTAATAGGGAGTTTCTGCAACCTCGAACGTTAAAGCACTATCGATCATCTGCTCATGAGTAATTCAAGTTTGACACCACTTTAGTGCATCTGCGCATTCGCGGAAGACTGATAGTGCTGACGCTATGGCATGCACAAACTCCCTACTTTAGCGTGGCCGCTAAAGATCAAGGGATCAGAGTTGCCGGAAGAGTCCATTTCTCAAAAACTTCGTTTTAGGGAGAGCGCATCCCTTTCTGGCACGTGTTCACAGCCCTACTCCAGTCCAGTGTTGCCATATCGGCGGAATGCCCGCCGTTTTGCAGCGGATTTTCAATTCGTACGGCGGAAAAAAAATTAGTTTCGCGGACAGCGGAATAAACGGCGGAAATTAATAAAGACGGTGGAAAAATTGTGTTGACCACGAACTGCGTTGACCGACGCGTAACAGTTTTAGCTTACGATGGTAACGAAAATCCTGACAGTTTCTTTTAAAGGAATACTTAACAATAAAGTTAAAATAAATGTAGGTGGGCGTTAACGTTTAAATTCTTTAAATGTTTAGAAAAGTGAAGTTAAAATGCCACACGCAAATGTTTTCTGTCGAGCCTAAGTGTCCTTAAGTTTGGTACATAAAGGGCTATAAAATATTAGTAGCATGTATCCTCCTTCCATTTCGGAAAAGTCGCTGTAAATTCGATACTTTGTATTTGTATTTTTGATAATATATTAAATAATTTTTAATTAACATTATCGCTACATCACTCCCTGTCTGAATTTATAACTAATATATTTTTACTGCTATAGTAATGATATTAGACTGATTCCTCATTTTCAATTCGTCAATTAATTAATCCATCGGATGGCGTTTTCAGAAAGATTTGAAAACGCAAAAAATAACGAATTTTAAATATTTCTTTTTTCATTTGAAATAGAAATACTGTAAAATAATTTTAAATTTACTTTCAACTGAATTAATGAAAAAATTGAAAGCAAAATCATATAAAAAAGAAACGTAATGTCCCTTTTCTTGTTGATACTTTTTGTATGCTTTTGAACGTAAAAAATGTATCGAAATTAATGCAGTATGCGGTTAGCATTCAGAAAAAATATTAATAAATGATATGTGAACTGAATTGTCTGTCCTTCATTAATATATTCTCTGAATGCTAATCAAATACGTCATTAGGGCCAGCATACGTACTCACGACTACGACTAAGGAAAAGCAACTGTCTTTTATTATTCCGTATGAAGTGCAGGATAGAAAACGACAAATGCTTATGAATGCATGAAATAGATAATAGCAATTGCTTATTCTTGGTTATAGCCGTCGTTATTGGCGTATTCGAGCACCAATATTTTAAAATAATAATAAAGGACGCACTTATGTGGACTGAATTGTCTGTCTTAATTTTTTCCTACGGTTAGAAGGGATGCTTAAAAGAAAGGCTATAGCTCATTCTTGTTGAACTCTCCGTATTTTCGAAAATTGTAAAAACTTAAAATGGAAACTACGAAATGGAAGATAAAAGATGTTTCCCTTAAACAAAATCTGTTCATTAAGAAAGGTCATGAAAATTTCTTTGAAAAACAACATGTTTTCGCGAAATTTCTGATTGAAATGAATGAAATATATACATGTGTCCGACCAATTATGGGCGAGAAAAATCCTCGGAGAACAGGAATGGATCAAACCGTTATAAAAAATAATTGGATTTTAATTATAATTTACTATTGAAAATCCCAATAGTAATTCGATTTTTACTGTACTCTAATTTGTATTCTCAACGTATTGATGTATTCATTCAAGCAATCTGCAAATCTTAATTGAAATTGGTACGATTAGATTTTCTCTCTCAGATATATGATTTAAATGTAATAGTAAAGAAAAACTGAAAAAAATAGTACTATAATAATGTAAGAACTTTTATTACGATAATTTTTTATTACCACCGTACGCTGCATTTGGGCAACAATGCAGCGATGAATATTTGAGATCACTGTTGAACGGCGACAGGGGAAAGAAAAGGCGGTTTTATTTACTTTACATTAGTGTTACAATTTTCTTTCAATATAATGGTATATTTAACGTATTTAAGTCGGGAAGAATGTATATACACATATGCATACGGTAGTGCTATTGGCGTTTCGAATGCATTCATCATGCGATATATTGGATGGCCTTTAGTTCTGAATGTTCGATTTATATGTGAAATTATCCTTGCTTGCTCATACGATGAGCTGGAAATTACACGCGAGCAGTTACAAATAATGCGAGAAAGTAAGTGTTGTAGCACTACTAGTTTACTACAGATTTCATATCACAAAAATATCCAATTATCTGTTCCTTGTTTTTTCTTCAATGGGTAGAAAAAATGTCCATCTTGTCTCCCCTTGTAGTACGCAACTGATTAAATCAAATTTTCGGGTGGAAAATTGCGTCTTACTCGAATCGCACGCTAGGGCTGTTTATGTCCCTTGCATTTACTGCTCCCAGAAGAATAAACCTGGTCATCCTTTCCGATTGGAAAAGCAGGGTGAATGAGACACACTGCTGCGGAAAGTACAATATATGTGGGTATTTGCGTATACACTTGTGCTCAAAAAACATCACCTTTCTCACAGTTGTAATCTGCAATATAATCCAAAAAATACACCACCTGATTTGCAAAAATCAAGAGAGTTGTGAAGGTATTGTAATCAGAAACAATATATACTCTGCATAAAATGTATGATTACCAATTTCTACTAATAATTATTTAAAATTTTTGAAAGCAGATTGAATTGATTTATTACAATGATTAAAAAAAGATGGCGCTTTATTCAAAGCTCAGAATCAGTCTTGTCACATTTTTTGTACAACCACACACGTATTTTTAGAAATCTAATAACATTTTTAAAATTACAAATATTTAAAAATTGATAAAATATTAAAAATTGTAACTTAAAATCATATATTTAAGAGTCTGTAACATGAGACAACACTTGCACAAATGATGTTACTGAGGTATTGCTGCTCTGTACTGACCATACCGTATTTGCAACACTGAAACAAAAATTAGAGTAAAATTAACAAATATAAGACGTTATACCTAAGACACAGACCACTTAAACGAATAAATTCCTGAAAACTTAAGAAATGCATAAAATAATCGTAGGTTCAGTAATAATAAACTGACCACTATCGCCGATAGTGATCACATGTTGCGAATACGCGTCGCAAATAATAGACAATATTGTACGAGAACAATATAAACATACAACAAAAAACTTATAAGAAAATGGTTAATTAATTTATATCGATGCTGTTAAAACTGTAATTATATTTTCTCTCAATGGCGACAATCCTCTTCATTTTCTTTCTCTTACATATATGTCTATTTTTCTTTGTATTAACTCTTATTGTTGCGAGGTTTTTCTTGAAACAGCGTTGTACGGTACTAGCTGAAGGCTCCGCGTTGCTGGGGGGTATTTATCATAATATTTTTATTGAATAGAAAAAGGAATTCCATCTATTCCCGTCCTATTGTGACGGTCCATTCGGACACATCACAATGATGACTCATCAAAAAGATGCAATAAGGTCACTAAACTGACAAATTTAATAGAAGGAAACAGTCAAAGATGCAAAGGTGGAAGTCGAAAGTGTTTATTTCTAAATCAATCCAAGGAACTATGCTGGTAGCAGGTCTGGGAAGAATAAATAATTTTAAGAACCATCCGGAAGCAATTCGAAACGGAGGTACACAAATTACAAGAGCTTAAAGAGGCAGAAAGATACTGACCCGGGAAGACAATTGAGTATATGCAACTGATGTAAGTAGCTTTCGAAGTAAGTGGGAATTTCGGCAAAGAAGGTGAACCGGAGGGCAATGAACTTTGGAGAACGCGACGAATTAAAAAACAATTTTTTCCGAAAATCTGAAAGGGGCCAAATCAGAATAGAAGAAATTTGAATATAAAAAATGTTCTAAAAGATGTCGGTGAAAGACAAAAGCGAGCATTTGGTGAAAAAAAAATCGAAAGACTAGACTGACTGACACAGAGGGATGATAGATGCCGAGCCGACATGGTGTAGCATGTGCTGTCAATTTTCGTGTTTTTGGAGAGTGAAATTAGCTATCGGAGAGAAGGCGAGTTGGAGTACGCGCTAACTTCAGTAATTAGAATGGGATTCAATGGAAGTACTAGATTTAGAAGGTTTTGCGTAGAAACGCATAGGAAGTAGTGGAAATGGCGAGCCCATTGATGGAATGGTACAGTCAAAATGGTGGATGGAGCGAATTCACGGGCTGACGGCAACACCGTCATAATCAGGGAAGAGGTTATCTCCAGATATTATCCCGCGCGTGCAAGCATGATTAGCTGCCGTCAGACGAGAGTGACAATGATGAGTTTTGTACTGTAGTCTATCATCATTTTTAAATTTTTAGAGAAAAAAAATGTTATCCAAATGATATGTACGTTATTTAACATAAACAAAATGTTTTCAACAATCATTTTTCTTTTCAATCTTTTTATTCACCCCTACGTCACCGCAAGCCAGGGATTCCACCCCCACTCCTCTAGACGCCCGTTATTATTTCATGAGGGGTAGGATATGCAGGAATTTTTTTTAATTAAAAAAAAAGATCATATTATTGTTACTCTTACGCCGGCCAGTATGTTTTTCTTAGGTCGATAGACAGAGGGCGGAGTAGCAAGACTGGGCAGGGGAGAGGGGGGCCATCAGCATCGTGAGATGGGCCACAGCTGAAGGGAATCCAACGGCCTAGTGACGTCACAAGGACGACCTTATGACGTTACACCACCGGATGTTGACATCGGTTAACCACAACCGGTGCAAAATGTAAACATCCATCACAGAACCGACCGTTTCCCTCTACATATAAATTTATGAGAAGGCCAAGCACTGTAATAGATTTGATAAATACTTTGAAATAACGTGGATGGCCATCAAACTAACAACGTGCACAGTATGAATGGGAAGTGTAAATATTTTTTGTATTAAGTGTGAACGTGAAGTTAGATTCATTGTTACTGTGTTAAAGAATATTTCTTGTTTTGTGTTCTGATTTTTATCAGCAGCGTCATACAGGAAATTGACGACGGCGCAGAATAACACCGCCGAATAAATTAACGGTACCATGGGTCACGATGCTGTACATATTTGAATGATGTCTGTTTTTTATAGTTCAAGAAAGGTTAATTTCCCTCCAATCACCAATACAAAGAGAATAATTATAAATATAGTTTTCCTATCCTGTACAGGAGGAACTTCAGTCTCACGATCCTAATACAAATATTCCAGTGCCAATGCCACTCGTGCCAGAAAGATTAATATTGAAATTTAACCAATATAATGTAAAATGTACAATACAGGCAGAAGCACGATGGGACGGTTACACTAGGGCGGTGCCTACTTCTGTATATTCTATCTCCCCGCCGCCCTTGCATGCGTCTCACTGCCTTCCTCCAATCAGGAAATTCTCTTTCGTATTCATTAAAACACTCTCACTAAAAAAATAATCCTATTGGGGTTGACACCCGCAAATTTAACTAACAAATTAAACAAAAAAATAAAATGCATATACTTAGGTATATTGTTTTTGAGAAATTTTATATATTATACCAATTCTTTCAATCATAAAACTTACTTGTTCATTGGTACTGATATATTTTTCTTCTCGCGTATTCATAAAGAAAAGTTTGAAATTAACCTTACCTCGTCAACATACTTTTAAAAATAATTAAAGTAATATTAACTGAACTCCAGTATTACAATTTTACTTCAATACATGTTAAATTATTTGCGATTTGAATAAATTCGTGCAGTTAAACCATTATTTATTCTTTTTCCAACACTGACTTAGGATTCGCAATCAGCGACCCCGAAAATCTGTTTGAACTCGAACGAAATACACGTTTTCATTACAGGGTCATGTAATGATCAAGATTTCGGAAGTTGGTAAGATCGTCCATTACCCTTTTCTTTAGCCCCTTGAAAGCATAAGAATCCAAGAACAAAAAAATACTCACTTAGGGTTTTGAAGAACACACAGTAATTCTTCAATCCGATCACGAATAATAAGTTCATGATGATTAAAGGAAGTTGATGAAAACTGCATTCTTATTTTATTTAAACACAATACAGCTCGAGGAATTTGATCCTGACATCTGGTAGCCAACTGGAAAAATGAATTTCATGAATAATTAAATTAATTCCATTCACGATACATTTTAATTTTTTTAACGTGTTGCGTCGATGACGCAACACGTCTCTTTAACCCTTGTTGGGAGTTTGGCGCCTCCGTTGTTCAGTAATTACAATTTTTGCCAAGTCCCGACACGTCGCAATCATTCAGTGTCTTTTATCCCTTCGGCAAGCGAGTCGACGCCGTTCTACTTGGGTTCACGATGGAATATCTCACGCTATTAGGCGTCTTTCTCGGTCGTACCGATATATGTCGTATGATCGCAATACTGATCGCGATCCGTTCCATTTTATGCTGTGTAAAATAACATATAACTTCACACCCAGCGATTTTTTCCGTCTTGTACAGGTTCCGGTATATACAGATTTTTCCGTGATATATTAAGACAAAACTCATATACGTGGATTCGGAGAGCGAACGCACATATGAATCCGTTTTAATTGCCGAGCAAAGTAGAGACTGCGTTTTGACTGGCCGGAAGGAGAGGGAAGGTAGCCCCTACATTACAGAGGATAAAGTAGGAGAAGAAATAATCAAGATAGTAGTTGTAACGACTATTTCTTATATCGGCAGCGATGCGAAAAGGTGTTGGTCATAGGCGGAAAGTATAGGATTCGTATTTTTGCTCTGTAGAGAGAACGTGCGAGCGATTCGCATTTGAGAGCAAATAGAAAAGCATTAGAACTCATAGAGCAGCTGAATCAATTTTAATAATCACTGATTTGTTGGATTTATCTCCGCCCTGTATAGTACTATTTTTTATTATAAACAAATATCTTTATCGTCAATATATTGTCAACCTCTTACAATAAGTTTATTTATCTTCAAAACAGTATATCCGTCTTAGAAGTTTTATTCATTATATGAACATCAGAGTTATTTTAATTATTAACTAACTTGTGCTATACTACATGTCTAACTCATAACTGTTTCTAAACCAATAAAAATTTAAATTCCATAAATTTGTCCTTTAACTGTTCATTATTAGTGTATTAACATACTAAAATATTTTTTAAAATCTTACACTTTCAGTCAGAAAACCTGAAATTTTGCTTGGAATGACCAAGGTGTAATGTAATATGTGTGATGTAGTGTATGAAGACACATTTCGTAAATCAAGTAATATTCATAGAAAAATTGTATTTTTGTGATTTACATACAAGACATTTCATGAGAAAAGACAAAATATGCTAATATTTTTGTGAAATATATTTTCATAGAATGCAAAAAAAATAACATGTAAATGTATTCTGATAATCGCATCTCTGTGTGATTTGGTTTGTGTTTACCAGGAATACAAAAAACACTGCTCGTAATCAAGTTTATAATTCAGAAGAAAATATTTTTGAACTTCAAGGACATTTTGAATATTTTTTCACGAATTCCATTTATGTGTTAAAATCTTATTTAAAGACCATGTTTTTAAATCAGGAACGCAAAGATTTAGTTTTTTTATGTTAAAGAATAAGCAACATTTTCAATCAAATTTAACAATTGATTTTGTTATGCTATAATGCAGGGTAGCATGACCAATGCAGACAAGTTGATCAGGTGTTAAAATTTTCCATTATTGAGTGTAATGTAATATATCTGTGATCACATATGTAATTATAATCTGAGATATTCTAGTCAAATAACTATTAAAATTTCGGGAAAATTCATTCACTTACTGAAAATTGAATTCACAGTATTACCCTCAATGCACAGTATTCTCAATTAAAAATATCTTTAAAATAATTTGAAGTAATATGCATTAAAAGTTTGAAGAAAAAAAGAAAGAAAAGAATTTGAAGAAATTATGCAATATTTTTATTATTGTATAGTAATTTGATACTACTGCTGTATGCTAATTGTGAAGCTATGAATACCTACCTAAAATATCATAATAGATACACAGTTTGATGTACACTTTTCAACTATCTGGCAGGGTTGCCAGATTTGTGAATTTCCCCACTAGATTTGGTGGATTTTTTAAAGTATGATGGGGGCTATTTGGGGGGGGGGGAGTTCATAGGATTTCTATTTAAATTCATAAAATAAAAATTTGTACTTAAATGTACTTCTGAGTTATACTGACACAATATTTGGCTTGTGGCTCCTTATGTCTCAAGATTCGATTAAAAAACAAGATTAATTTTAATAGAATTTAAGCATTGTGTCATTTAATTGGATTATATGTTAACAACCTAATGTTATTTTATGCAGTGATTAAAGTAGAACAAATTTTAATATATTGGACAAATAAAGTAATTTATAAAATTGTATGTTAAATTTCTATTCAACTTAAAAAATAAGAAGGAAGAATTTTGTGGGATTGTTTTATCACACATCCACATCACACACCACACACCCCACACACACTCTCCCCTGAAAAAATGTAAGTTCCTTTTGAAAGAAAATCCTGGTTATATGCTTGCCTCAAAAGGAATCCTCATCAAGTTATCTTTTCAGACAAAGCAACTTTCATTTCAGCCTGGATTGATCATACAACATGTGTTAAAAATAAGTTTTCAAGCATTTTTATAATTGGATCATATCTTATGCTCTAAGGAGAAATTTTGAGTTTGGACAAACTTTTAACACCAATGCTTTGTAAGTATTAATATTACAAGAATAATATTGCATATTACCTTAGCTAATGTAGAGCTAGCCACATTTAACAGTTCAAAACATACTGATTCACTTGTAGCAAATTGGGCCAAAATTTGGTAAATCGTACATTCAATTACTTCATAATATTGTATTAATTGTAGTCGGTTGTGGGTATCCCTGGAGAAAAAGATCAAAATATTAATCAAAACATCAATTCACAAAGATTCAAAAAATTAATTCAAACAAAAAAAGGCCTTTATTAAAATTTTGATATTGTTTTTTGTGAAAACTGATGATTCTCATTTACAAACGTATTTAGGTTGAAAACACATGGAAACTAATAAATACCCACCAGTCAGCACTGGTGCTGTGTTCACCAATAACATAAATTATATGGATATACAATTGTGGAAAAGCATCATAATTTTTGGTTGCTGAAACATATTCAACTATTTCTGATGGTATGGAGAATATCAGACCAGGACAAGCCTTGAAAAGCTGTTTGAAATGCAGAAGTAAACACCTGTGAGACAAGTAAAAAATTTAGACATTTTATATGCTGTTTATTACACATTCAATTCACGGATTTCATTTTGTTATTAGTGCTGAAAATTTAAATAGTCCTCTTATAATACAATTTAAACACATAACTTTTATTTGGGCATAAAAAAGTAAAACATTTTTGGTAAACCCACATAAGTTTCCACCATCTCACCGCCCAATGACATTTGAATGTACTTTGATTCGTAAAACACATACGCTGCAAAACTTCACAAAATTCCGATTTCGGGTTTAAGCAATTTTAACTAATACATTTTATTTTATCACAAAGAAGTTCGCAAAGCACTAATTAGGGGCAAACAGCCCTCGTTTGGTCTATTATCTCCGGCCTTCAAGATGTTTTAAAAACCTGCCTCCTAGTAACAGGATTTAATAGAGGGAAAATACTGTACTCACCGCTGTTATCGTTTTCTTGAGCCCTAGCTCCGCTATAGTTGCGAGACAAGTGGGGAGTCTGATTATGTTCACAAAAGGAATTTTATATCAAATTTGTATTCTTTTTTCGAAGCAAAATAGTTTCTATTACACGGGAGTACATTTCTAGTTATCAGATGTTGGCTTATTGCTAAAATTTATTCTTAATTCAACTAATGTTGGCAAAGGAGTGGGGGTAGATACTCCTGGGTTCATGAAAATGTGCGCGTATAATTGACATGAAACTATCAAAATGCTTCATCTGAATATAAACTCTAGCTCAAAACAAAGCTCAATTTATTTTGTTTTCGTCCAATCATGGATTCCATACTTCAAAAAGGAACCAAGCACATCTGGCACATTATTTTTCCGATCCACCGAGGTCACTTGCATAATATTATAAAATTATTTAATTATGTACGATGCTTTATCTTTGTACTACTATGCTTAAAACAAAATAAAATAACTTTGTCTTATTGTAATGTATAAAATAAATGTAATTTTTTTCCTGCAATGGAATATAATATTATACATAAATGAATCTGTAAAAGAAACATTGGATTCTTATCCCTAGTAACGAATGGCCTCCGACGTCGCGAGATCGGAAATCGGAAACGAAGAATGAGAGACGGGGATAAGGGCACTACTTCGAATTCGAAACAGAATAGAACGTTTTAATTAATTAATGGTGCAATAATAGAGAAATACAATGTTAATCTATGTTGCAACAGAATAGCACCGACTTTCTCGTACTAGTTTTCTGATTTTTTGGTCTGGGCTTGCTTTTCGGACTTTCTTTTCCATCGAAGACAAATTCATAACTCCATAAATAAATTCATACATAAAATTTACACAGCAAACAGTTTTAATGCAATATTTCAGTTAACTTGTTTATATCATTATCGTGTTTTAAATCCAAATTCTTATCTTGTGTTTGAAAATATTCAAGAACAATGAATAATATGCAATTAGCTGAGGTTCAGGTAACAAAACTTCTAGGTCCCTCAATTCGGCCAATCCTCAAATGGAATGTACAATTAACCAAATTAAACACTAAATTAAGTTCATTATGCTACACATTCAGAATTCTTTCAAATTCCGTCAGCCTTCATGCAGCTTGTTGCGTGTATTTTGCAATTGTACATTCCCGCCTGAGATATGACACAAAATTCTGGGAAAACTCATCATGTAGTACTCAGACCTTTAGATTGCGAAAGAAAATTATCTGAATAATGAAAACATGCCATCCACATGATACCTACAAGCCTCTCTTCATTAAGCTTGGAATTTTACCAAAGCCTTGCCTATATATTAACGAATCTGTAATATTTGTGAAAAGTGACTCACTTAACAGTAGGAACATATTTTCATGCAATACAAATATTTATAATTACAACACATGTCGTAAAAATCATGTTCCTGCCTGATGACATTAAACAATTGAAGTCGATTCACAAATTTAGGTTGAAAGTAAAAACCTTTCTGCTGCATAACTGTTTCTATACAATTAGAGACTATACTGATTACCAATAAATAATGTTTATTTTAACAAAACAGTGATATATATTGAATTAGTTTACATTTGTATTGCATTTTTTTTAAAAAAAGACTTAATGTTTGTAACAAATAATATACTTCAGCATCCGGGTCAATGACCTCCATCTCTATCAGATTTTTGTCCAGTTTCCCTGACCGATTGAGCAAATGCTCAGATGGCCCCTCGTTTTACTTCTGGACGTAAAGGTGGCTTCACTATGTGCATGTTTTGTTGAACTCTCCTTTTGCTTGTAATGGTAAGAGTAGAGGTAAGGGCGAGTTACTCTTGTTAGCAATGCAGAAAAGTCATACTTGCAATTCGTTTACCGATGCAAATAAGTTTTCTATAATTCGGAAATGAAAATGTCAATTTGTTTTAAATATTGCTAATCTTGAGATTTTGAAAATTTATTTTTATTTATTTATTTTAAACTTTTACTCAACTTTCAACTATTTATAGTTAAAATGACTGGAAGGAATTCTTGAACTCAAGAAAAGGTGCACAGATAATCTTCTCTCCCACACATCATATACAGTTTTTACTGTTTTTTGACTAAATAAATCTAAATCTACATCTACACTTACTATATTTTAATGTTATCGGTAAATGATTATATATTTCAAAGAAGACGAAGGTTCTTGACAATAGAGATTTATGAATTGGGGTTTTTTATTTGATTAGTGGCCTACTGTGTGTACTGTAATTGTGAAATATTCTATCAGTTAAATTATTTCCACTTTTGTCAATCTGCAATAAGACAGGGGGGAAAATATGTTAAAAAACTGGAGGGTGGTGGCACAATTCTAGCTTAAGGTTAGGATTTAGCACATTGACATACATAGTGAAATATGTGTCAAGTTTTCAGGTCTTTTTTATTTTACTTATTAAAAATTTTTAATTCTGTGTGCCTGTGTTATTGGTTCGAGACAAACTAAAATGTTACAGTATAAAAAGTATAGTATAAAAGATAGTATAAAATATTGTATTAGAATGTTAGAACAGTCTTCTCCAAAAGAGGTTGTGAGTTAAATGAATCAAAGTGGAATTACAGCACTGGTAACGATAAATACAGTCGGATTTTGCTTTGTGTTGTGAAATAACCTCCATTGCATTTTTTTTAATTATTCATTTTTTATTCAATCATAAACGTTTCAATAATAATTACCATTTAAGAACGTAATTATCGAGCGAAACTTTCCCTCCATATCTGTGAAATTCCCCATATCCCATCAATGAAACACTGTATGCCCACCGCTGCCTCCGGCACTATCTATGCTCCGCGCCACTGTTCCGAGCAGGAGAGCAGATTTTTTTGACGTCACAGAGCATTGTGTTGGCAAGCAATCTCTCTTTCATTCACCATGCCATGAGGTGCCACGTTATGAAAACTCAGGTATAGAATTTGAAACAGATATTTGAATAGGGAGGTGGGGTACTTTGCACGACGACCTTGAGAATGCAAAAGCACATTTTTTCGGGTTTTTCCTACAACTTATTGTAGATATTTTTTTCCTTACTAAAATTTGTTCTTTAAAAACAGATTTTGAAATAAGGACGCATACAATTTTTTGCCAATTGAAGTAGTTTTTGTGGAGGTTCACATGAAATATACTGTTTTAAAATTTTCTTAAAACATTTTTTGCCAATAAAATTCATCAATTTTTATTTTTTTTTATTAAATTTTGAATATGGTAAGGGGAGCTTAAGAGAATAGCGGTCTTATTTTTGTTGAAATCCTTGATTTTTGAAAATTGCATAAATACAAACATTTTCTGCATCTTCTTACAACTAAATAATGAAAATATTGTTTTCTTAATCAAACATCAGAAACATATTCAAACAAGTTAATTTTGAATTTTTCGAAAATGAGTATTTTTGGATCAATTTTGCTTCAATTGTATTAATTTTTAAATTTTAATCAATTGTTTTCTCAGAAATGGCTCCTAAGTTTTTCTTTATTTCCCCATGTATGTATTCAAAGAAAGTAAGACTGGTCCCTTTTTCGGTGCACACACTGTATTTTTGAAAATTGGGAAAAAATTCAGAATGTGAAAGGACAAGCTAGTGGTGAGAAATATTTAACCGACATAGCTACAAATTTGTTTTTTCTTTCATTATGTATTTCATATTATTTTAACTTTTTCAAAAACAGTCATACGATGATGGAATAGTTTTTTATGGCAACTTGGCAGGAAAAAAACGAAATATTTTATAGGGCTTCACTGCTTTCCTCAGCACCTATAACTTTAATTTCTGGTTAAAGTCATTAATTATAAAGATACTAAGAATTGTATGGAAGTCTTTAAGAAACATACATTCAATGTTACAAAGAACATAAAATACCAGTTGTTAGACTTAGAGTAAGCTTAAATAGGTTAGTTTTTGTTATAGTTATTAATGATTTTATCAAATTATTGTGTTACAAATCTGTAACACATTTATAATTAGTAGGATCAAGTAATTCAGCCTCGTGGGACAGGGTCTTGGGACAGGCGAGTCAAAATACTTAGCTGCAGGTTCAAAACCTACACAAAATAAGAAAGTTTTCTGTTGTTTTTGAGATGTGTGGGGCATTCCGAGTCCCTTGTATTTTATATCTATACCATAACCTCTTAATCTGACAGGCAGCTGTGAGCAATTTGCGTATTTAATTGAGGAACTTGATCAACAAGTAGAACAATAGTACAAGCCACATGATGGGCCAAGGTACCACGGGCAAATATGCAAAAGTACATGACAGAGATAGATCTTTGCGATATTTGGAGTGTGTGAAGGTGCTCTTCACTACACCTCAGAGGAGTGACAGGTAGTTCAAGAAGCTCTGGTGGTCTTTTAAACATCGAGTAAATAGAAGAGTAACTATTATGAAAAAATCTGCGCCATTTTGAAGCACTATTAGTTGTGTTTCTTCTATTGTGTATTAACAATAGTGTGTTTAAAATAATACTCTACATTATTTTGTAACATTTTTGTCCAAAAAGAATTTCTTTTTCTTTACATCATTCATGTTCCATTACATTTTAGAGACCCTTCCTTCAAATACAAATAGCAAAAATCACAATGAAACTGCATTGCCAAAAATGGATAACTAATAGTCTATATTGGAAAACTGTAATGGTAATTACAAAAAATATACAATAGGTAATAAATATGAATTGTACAAGAATATCTAAATAACAAAAGAAAACATTCAAAAATATTTCTCCTCACCTGTGAACAGCTGGTATGTAACCAGGAGAATCATAGAGAACTTGTAATCGATTGAACATATCGAGAACAACTGGTGCTATGCAAGATACATCCTTCCACTTTTCTATTACATCATAGTAACATTCCAAAAGTAGAGAAACAATCTGGCAACATGTGATCACCAGACTATGATTACTTATCTTGTGTAGTAATTTCATATATGCCGGCATCCTAAAAATACATAAATTACTTTCTAAAAGATGAATAAAATGGAAAATACTACTGGCACTATTGGTAGTCTCAACTTATCAAAAAACTCTCAAAATTATGCTCTCACAGAAAATATTCCTTTAACGAACATACTTTGAAAGAGCAATTTCTTGCCCAGTCTCAATTCTCATCATATAATTGAAAACATGCTGAAACTCTATACTTCTGGCTCTTCTTAGTAATGTAGCCCATTCTGTATCCATAGATCCCGCACTGTCTGCCTGTGCTAACATGGGAGCTTGATGAAGACATAATGTTGCTGCAAGAAGAGGAAGATCTAAAATACTATGAAATACCTGAAAGCAATAGTAAAATAAATCACTGTTCTGGCAATCATGAATCAGCCATCCCTCACATACATCACTTACAAAATGTTCACCATCACACAACACAACTGATTATTTAATTATCATAACCCCATTGAAATTTGTATAATTAATTGATTCCTATAACAAGTTATAAAATTTTTTTATCTTTGTTATAAAAGTTTTTACCTTCAGATTCCCCTGTTTATCAGTGCAGTAAAACAATATCAGTTATTTTTAATTATATGAATCTAGGCAGAAAGCAGGGAAAGTGTCCTATCTACAGAGAACTTGTTACTTTGTGTAATGCAATTATGTAATCATTTTCAATTACAAAATTTTAATTGCTATGCTAATTTAAATTTTTCAATACTTTGATGCTCTAATTCTGTGAGGGCTACATAACGGTCTCAGTGATGTGATTTTCACTGTGAAGCATGCAAAGAAATTAATCCTGTGAGCAATGGAACATCTTAGAAGTTGACAAGAAGCAAGGAGCTTCTGTTACAAATAATGATATTTAATTCTGACTCAAATTATACATGAAGGTAAAATAGAAATTACTTTTCTTCCTTTGGAATATTTTTCACTAAACCTATGTCAATATTTAGTATTAGGAAAAACCTTAATGGCACTAGCTGAAAACAACAAACTCCAAAAAAGGCAAAATATGTATTGGATTTTGGAATAGAATCCATTATTATATTGTAACATCACACATAATTTTGTGTTATATTGTATTTTATCCATTTCATAAACATTTTTAAACAAAAATTTTGTCTTTTTAATTTCACATCTGCAAAGTTTACTATCTGTTCTATTAGAATATTTAGAAAAATATTTGAAATTTCAATAACATTTACATAGATACTAGTTATATATTTAGATTTACTAGTCTATTTCTTCATTAGTTTATACAGTTTAATTAAAATGAACAATGAAAGAACTGTTAAGGAGGTGCAATTAAATACACCCCTTTTTCACTTAAATGTATAAGTAATAGCTGTTTAATAAAATTCTCAGCGGTGATTTATTAATTCTCTAGAGGAGATAATTGTTTATTTTGGCAACAACACCTGCAGGACACAATAAATTATAGATTACAAAAAAATTATAATAAAAATTAAAAAATAACGCATAAAGGTTTTCAATATACCTCAACTGCAGTAGATGGCGATATGAAGTCGGGTAGTAGTTCAATGAATTCTTCAATTACAACACAAGGATGACATGCAATAATTTTTAATATGTTGGGAAAAAATCGTTGTAGTAATGGTTCTTGAAGAGCTATCAATTTATTCCTGTTTTCTAAAAGAAATAAGATTGTATCTGTGGCAGCCAATCCAGATGTATAACTACGATAGACCATGTCTTGCAAAAAATATTCACAAACTAATTGTGAATTGTAACCTGTCGATTCTCCTGCAATTTGTGTCAATTTAATTAAATTATATACTTGAAGAATCCCTGATTAAAACATATAATTCGCAATTTAAAAAATTATAAGTAACAAAATATTATCACTTACCGAAGTTTAATAGAAAAGATAAGACTCGAACAAAAACATGAATATCACGATAATCTCCTTTAAAATTTTCTTTAATATTATTTTGAATTCTTTTAACTATTTTGAGACAATGAGGCCCATTCGATGTATCCATCTGTACCAATTGATTCATTATATCAAGAACCTCACATAACACCTTAAAGAAGACAATAAAAGTTCTATCAATTACTACAAACATTCCATAACTTTCACTAAATAGAATTTAAACAGCAACAACCATTAACAAGAATTACAGTTACGCACAGCCTTTTGAAGTGCAATATCATGTTCTTTTCGAGCAGGCCTAAAGCATTGTTCTACAACAAGATTACAATACTCTCGTAAACTTTCTGTTAGTTTTCTATTCTTGTGAATCATCTGTTTTCCAAGCCACTCTCGAATTGTGGAGAAACAATGAATACTCATCAGATGATTGTCACTGAAGTTATTAGCTGGAAGCATGAACAGAAATAATTTTAAAATATTTCTATACTTTATTTTTTAATTTTATTTACAAATTTTACTAATAAATTAATGAAACTAATATTCAGCACCCATACCTAAAGTTAACACTGTGTGTACTTCTCCTGCACAACTGCCATCAACTTCAGTGGCTGCAGACGAATCAGAGCGACCAAACAATGAAACAGAAGAAGCAACTGGTTTGCTTTGTACAGGGGTAAACCAAGTTTCCATTAAATTTCCCAATCTTGATAAATTTTCTGATGATATTAAAGTGGGGTAAGTTCCATGAATAACAAGTAAGCATAACAGGAGTTTCCCTCGTTCCTCCACAGGCACCTCTGATTTTTTTAGGAAACTGTAAATAAAAAACAGTTTTCAAGAAAAGGTTTTATAATTATAACAAAAGAAGCTAAACATTTTTTCACAGTTTAAAGAAGTAAATAAGTACCTAATAATAAAGTTAATGTACATAAAAAAAATTAAAAAGGTCAAAACAAGAAGAAATACAACTTGTATTAAAGAATAAAAAATCTCATCAATATTTCATAAACAACATACTTCACATACCTAAGTAATTTTTCTACTGTGACTTCATCTAATAAAGGAATTAAACCTCCAACGAGGATGCAGTTAACTAATGAAGTATGATTATTCTTATCTGAAGCAAAAGTGACTTGTTCAATAATACTACTTTCCAGGTATACACTCACTTCTTCCATAATTTGAAAAATTATATTTTTCTGTTTCTTGGATACATGCTTTAAATCCACAGAGGCAAGCAATGTATCACAAGTCTTTTGCATTACAGGCGGGAAATACTTATGATGAATATAATACATTAAGATTTCTCGAAGCACATCAACTGTTGGTCCTTTTCTATTGAAGTGATTCCACAAATCTCCCAATTGTTGAACATTCATTTTCCTGAAAATAATATAATTTTAATACCACACAATAATTTCTGACTTCGAAAAAAATTTAAACAGATCGTACTCATAATGCTTTACGACACTTCGGCAATTGGCCATTTTCGCTGGATAGACACTTTAGCTTAAAAACAAGAACACAACCTCAGCGGACTTTTCTATAAGAACTTGTAGAAATAATAGTGATGGACCGAGCAGGCTGAACGAGGCTGATCAGCTGTGGGGCGAGCGCTGTAGGGTAGGGCGTATATTGTCAGTGACAGTCGATTTCCGATGTCAGCTGATGCAGCCTTAAATTTTCCGTTCGTTCCTTGCTCAGCCTTTTAGACAAACTATTCCTTAAAGATAGATTCTGAAATTAGATCATGTTACAATTTTAAGAAAATTTGAGTATAGCGTAATATTGAATAAAAATAGGCAATTTATAATTTAGTTTAAACAATTTTGGCTCAATTATGGCTCCATCGTTGATAATATGTTGTTGTTGTTGGATAGGTTGAAAGGCGTTTAATAAAATACAACAGGTCTTATGTTGGTTATAAAAACTGATTTTTGATTGAAAAAATTCAATTGAAAAATTCAAAATTTGTTCGGCGTCTTCCTACAATTAGAATTATGAAGCTACAAGTTTATTCATAATGAAACGTGTTCATCAAAAGCAATCTTCAAATAAGGTCATGTTCAATATTTTTTTTAAAAAGAGTGTTTTGTAAAATTTTGTGTCAAACACAGGCAATTTTTATTTTCTTTAAACCACTTTTTCTTAAAAACCGCACTTTTTAAATTAAATTGAGATCACAGAGAGCTTAAAGAACGCTTAAGAGAATGGTGCAGGTCTCACGTTCAGTAATATGACTGATTTTGCGAAAATTTAAAAATGTTTGGCAACTATCTACAATTCTGAAGATACAATGTTCTTTCTCAATTAAATGTGTTCATAAAAAACATATTTTAAAATAAGGTCATGATGAATTTTTTTGAAAATATAAGTATTTTCTGTGTAATTTTGTGACTAACATAATAACCCGCTCCCAAATTGACTGCGCTTCTTAAATAATATTGTGGGGTAATTCCAGCGGGATGCTTATTTGAATGTTTATATTATTTCATATTTCTTTGTTCGTTTCTTACATTCGAGTTTCTTTATATTCCTGGTCGCCTCAACATCTGATTTATTAACGATCACTATTGCATTTAACGGTAGGGTAACGGTATATGGTGATGCTAGGGGGTGAAAAGACGAACACAAATTCAACCTTACCTGAGATCTCGTCCATCTGGACCGGTAGGAGCTTTGTTATACGCTTACAAATTAATGTTTTATAATTTATTTAAAACCTATTTTAAATTGTGATCTTTAATTGAGTTAAATGTTAAAACAAATAGATGAGTTCGCTTCGCATAATAAGATGTGGGAATGAAGAGTGAAGCGCGTAAAAAATCAGCGATTTTGATGAATATAACAATATTATACTTCATTTTATATTTTTATCCGTGTTCATTTTCTTGCCAAGGGTACGAACATCAATTCTAATTTGCAAAATGTTTTCCCACAGGGATTAGCGGGCATTGTTGCGTATTGTAACACATTGCTGTAACGCCTCACTGATAACAAGGCAGTAATGATGGCCGCAGTTCGCTCTCGTGAATGGCCATCACAGACAGGTGCAGGAGATCCGCAGCGGGTGCAGCGCGGAATACTCCAAATCCCTTGGGGGTCGTTGAGCGTTTCGCTCTTTTGGAGTTACCCTCCATTAAGTACATAGTCCGTCACTTCTCTCCTTAGTCAGTTGTCAAGAGGACCGCCAGATAGCATCTCTGCGTATGCACTTCTCTCTTACGCGCTCCTGCGTCGCTACCCAGCGGCCAGAATTGGGAAGGAATAAGGATACGGGTAAGGTTTAGGACGCTGCGCAGGAGTTAAGACTAGCCCCTGCAAACTCGTTTTGTCGTAACAAATGACTAGGGAGTCTACTGCAGGGCCTTTCAACTCTCCATCAAAACAGGGGACAAAGCTTCAGGGTGCTACTCTATTAGGCGCTAGTGTCGCCAGGTACAGCTGCAGGTTGAGCTCGCCAACTTCAGCACATAAAAATTGGCTAATTTGTGAGAAATAGAAAAATAGTATTTTATATATTCATAATATACACAGATATGAAAGCGCGAACATCGGCGCTATATTTTGTAACATTATGGGCCTGCTTGTGACCCGCAAAGCCACGCACGTTTTAAGTATCATTGACGTTGTATACGGAAGCTTCCGCTGCTCGAATCCATGAATTCTCGGCTATCAGGAAGACGCCGCGTCTCCCGGATAGCCGAGAATTCATCATTGACGTTGGCTGCAGTTCGTGTTTTAGTTCCTGTGCCAATTTAACTGGATTCTAGAATATAGATCTGTTTTGAATATTTATTCGTGATCTTACAGATTCAATCAAAAACATAATGAAAAAGATTTTCATTTATTGTGACAGTTTACAAATCTTTCACTTTATTTAATTTAAAAAATAGTTAATATTTTAGTATAAGACTGAAAAAAAGGAATTATTTCAGAAAATGTGTAATAAAATTGGTGTCACGTAGAACTAAGCTAACTCCCCCTACCCCTATGTAACACAGGTAACTCTGCCTCGAACACCCTCCCCTATTTGGCGTTACGTAATTCATGGCATTCTCCTTACAGCGTGAAACATTGTACTGTTACGGTACATATCTACATTGTCTGATGAGCTTTTTACTTTCTTGTCCAGGTCATCCAGCATTATTATAAGTATAAGTGCGTTAGACGGATTGTCTCGTAACATCCCTTCGCTGTAGTGCATGTCGTCAGATACATTTATTTTGTTATCTATTTGTATACAATTTTCGGTCACTATGTTTAAGGTAAGCCTCGTTAACTATGTTTTTCCAGCAATTTTGTACTAGCATGTTGCGTAGAATATATCTGTTGACCCCGTCAAACGCTTTAGAGATGTCTACAAAGACATTTTTTTGTTTATCTAGCTGCGTGAGAATATTCTTCACTAGGGCATCTATTTCCATGATTGTTTACCGTCCATGCCTGAATATACATTGCTGATCTGGCAGCACATTTTCCACTTGCGTAATACGTCTTTGAGTGAGCCTTTGTGTTAGTGTCTTAACCCTAGAATGTATACAGAGGTTACGCATAACCCCATCTCACTTCTCAACAACGTACAACTTTTAAAATGTGAAGTTGGCAAACGTGAAACACTGTGCATTCTCTAACAATGGGAAGTACGTTAAACTGTCATTTACTTCGTTTCAGTTTTACATTGAGACTCAGGGAAATATTGTGCTCAGGGTGGCCAGCAATCTCTGTATGCTGATTACGTTGTGTTGTTCGCGAGGTCAAGGATGAAGATGAATGTGAACGATTCGAAATGTGAAGAGCAGATTGTTCGCTGAATTGGTGAAAATGAATGCGATGATTTTGAAAGTCATTTTACTGACTGAATATAATGCTTCGATACAAAGTGAATACAATAGTGTTATTTCGAAGAGCGAAGTTTCAGATATCGACGATGCACCTGCACTCACTCAGTATTAAAGGGGAAAAATGGATTTACTTGGACTTCGAGTGAACCCCGACACACAAACACCTCAAAGATTTGGATTTATTTAGATTTAAGAAGTATCGTTCTAAGATTATGCGGTGGCAAAAAAGTGTTTCGTCAGAACGTGAGAGCTGGAAAATTTTATTCACAGATAATATCACAGAAATTTCCAAATATACTAATCAAGAAATAGGACGGCAAAGGGAGTACACAGATGCCAGAATATCTATGACACAAAGATGGACATTTGTCTGTTGAAGAGATGTTCAATATAATATGCCATCACGTTTACCGGTGTATCATGAGTGAAACTCAATTTAGGTTTTGGTTAAATTGCTTGCGTTTTTACAAAACACATAGAAATCGAGATAAGTTCGCTCCAATTGTGAACTCAGGGCATGTTTCATTGGAAATTGTACTACTAGCTAAACACCACACGCATTTCGTACCATAGATGAACAGCTACTGGAATTTCGTGGGCACTGCCCATTTAGAGAGTATATCAATCAAAACCTGACAGATATGGTATCAAAATTTGCTAAATTGCCATTGCTAAATCAATATGTAAAAAACCCTCACATAATATTTCCATGAAACTAACAGGAACATCGCCATGGATAATTTGTTCATGTCGTTCCACTGGCTGAAACTATGCTAAAAGAGTATGATCTTACAGTAGTAGGAATACTCAGGAATAATAAAAGAGAAATCTCATCACAGTTTCTTCCCAACAAATCCAAAGAGATGCCACAATTCGCTTTTCTGAAAAATATGAGTTTAGTATCTTTCACCCCGAAGAAATCCAAATCAGATTGCTTTTATTTACAGTGCATCCTACTAAAACAGTAAATAATACTACAAAGAAACCTGAGATAATAGTTTTATAACTCTTCGAAAGGGAGAGTTGACACTTTCGACAAAATACTTCATTATTATACTGTTGAAAGAAAAACCAGAACATTGCCACTTAGGTACTTCTTTGGAATTCTTGATGAAGCTGGCTGGCATCAATTCTCTAATACTGTTTAAGATGTCTCAATAAAAAATTTGAAGACGCAATTTTTTTATGGAGTTGGGGCTAGACATTTCGAGAGAAACCCTTGAAAGACGCTAGTCCAAGAACTTAAACAAGGAACTCAGAGATATTTTATGTCTTCTAGGAAAGAAAAAAATGGAATTACTGAAGATATATGCAAACTCCAGTTAGTCTTAGAAAGCAGCCAAGATGTGCCCCCTGTGACAGGAAAACAGTGTTATACGTATCATAAACCTGTATGTGATCACCGAAAAGACGTACTACATGCATAAAGTAATCTGAGTTATTAATAAATTTGTTGAAACACACTCTGTAACAATTATTTGAAATTTATTTATACTTTTTTGAAAAAAAAAATAGGACTTACCAGTAACCCCATGTATGCTGTAATTTGTGCGACTTTTATGTATCCGTTCTAGTGCTATTCCTCTATACTCTTCTAGGCTCCTAGTTTGTTGTTTCTAGTGCTATTCCTCTATACTCTTCTAGGCTCCTAGTTTGTTGTTTCTAGTGCTATTCCTCTATACTCTTCCGGTCTGCTCGGATCTTCCTTTCAGCAAACAGCATTTCCGGGTTATCGTTCTCCATGATTTATGGATTTTTCCTGTGGCGAAACCAATAGCGTAACGAAATAAGAACCCACCCGCAAAACATTTTCCAGGTTCCCTTTATAAAAAGTGTAATTCTAGCACAAGTAGTC